GAATTCACTTAGATCAATGGTTTCAAACTCAACTCCTGGAGGGCCGCAGCTCTGCAAAGTTTAGCTCCAACCACCTCAAACTCACACCTGCTTAATAGTCTCTATTAGTCTTTAACACCTCGATCATTTGGATCAGCTGTGTTAGATAAGAGTTGGAGCGAAACTGTGCAGAGCTGCGGCCCTCCAGGAATCCAGTTTGAGACCCATTACTTAAATTAATTTTTAAGAAATGTGCTTCTTAAATATGATAAAAAAATATGATATCATGCAACATGATTCTTTTTTTATTGTATTATTTATTTATTTGTTTATTTATATTTTCTTCTTCTCTTCTTTTATGTTTATCCAATGTGAATATTGTGTAAAAGGATTGTATTTGTTTACAGTATTCTTTATATTCATTCAATTTCTTTTCGACTTAGTCCCTTTATTAATCAGGGGTCACCACAGCGGAATGAACCGGCAACTTATCTAGCATATGTTTTACGCAGTGGATGCTTTTTCAGCTGTACACTCTTACATTAACACACATTCACTACGGCCAATTTAGTTTATTCAATTTACCTATAGCGCATGTCTTTCAGGTGCCACCGAAGCACCTGGAGGAAACCCACGCCAACACATGCAAGAACATGCAAACTCCACACAGAAATGCCAACTGACCAAGCCGGGGCTTGAACCAGCAACCTTCTTGCTGTGAGGCGATTGTGCTATCCACTTTGCACCGTGCTGCCCCCTTTATTCTTTATATTGTTATACAGTTTCTTGGAATAAAAAAAATAAATAAATGTACAAATTTTTCATGAATCTGGCTTATGTTTTTACTTCTGTTATTTGAATGTTCTATTATCTTGGGAACTTCTGTTTTTGATGTCTGTTTTTCTGTAATTGCTATTTTCAAATTAAAAAAAAGTTTCACAATAAAATAAATAAATGGCTTACGCACAAAACGTGTGGAAATGTGTGTACGTCACTTCCCACGCAAAGTTTGAGATCTATAAAAGCAAACAAAACTAAAAACAAACATATTTAACTTAAATATTGATTTATTAAACTACCAAACCATAATATGAGCCATAAGCATTAATAAATAAAATAAATAATTCTGACGAAGGTTCGCTTATAAGAAGGTTTCTATGCAAAGTTTTATAAATGAGACCCCTGATGATTACTGCGGTAGTTTGCTGCATGCTGGTCTATAATTGTGATTTTATTACTTATATATGGGTCAAAGACCAAATGTCCAATGTTTTGGTCTACATTGAGTAAAACAAAAAAAAGTGATTTTAAATTTTTACAGACAGCATACTACTGCAAGTGAACAGTCTAATGTCTAAAAGCATTCATTAGAATAAATTGTCATGAGTGAAATGAGGTTCCACTTTTACAACATTTAGAACAACATAAGTATATTTATGTCAAAATTAAACCACATATTAATTCAAAACTGTGTTTTTTATTAAACACGATTTTATATTTTATTACATTTTGTTTAATTTAAAATGCATTGCTGACAAATAGGTAAACCTAGAAGTGGGAAGAATAGTAGCAAAGTAAAAAGAATTATAATGGCAATTAATTTGTATTTTGGGGCTGCAATTTAATCCCTAAATAATGTCTTTTAATATGTCATCAAATGGTTTTTGTTCTAAATATGACGAACAAGATTTTTTGTACACCAAAACAACTTTTAAGTGGTGTCTTAGGTACATTATTGTAAAAAAAAAAAAATATACAAAAAAGGGGGCGGGGGGCAATCATAGCTGCATTGCATCTCTGTTTTGATACTGGAAAATTTTTGTCTCTGACCCATAAATAGTGGGTACCGAACGTATTCAGACCCCCTTAAATTTTTCACACTTATTGCAGCCATATGCTAAAATCCTTCAAGTTTCACAACTTGAATGGCCCAGCCAGAGCCCTGACTTAAAACCAATTGAGCATCTCGGGAGAGAACTAAAAATGGCTGTCCACCAACGTTTACCGTCTAACCTGACATAACTGGAGAAGATCTGCAAGGAGGAATGGCAGAGAATTCCCAAATCCAGGTGTGAAAAAATTGTTGCATCTTTCCCAAAAACGCTATATTAGATCAAAAGGGTGCTTCTAAATACCAATCAGAAAGGTTTGAATACTTAGAACCATGTGGTATTTCAGTTTTTCTTATTTAATAAATCTGCAAAAATGTCAACAATTTTGTGTGTTTTCTGTCAATATAGGGTACTGTGTGTACATTAATTAGAAAATGTAAATGATTTCAGCAAATGGCTGCAATATAACAAAGAGTAAAAAATGTAAGGGGGTGTGAACACTTTATGTACCCACTGTATGTGATTTTTTTTTTCAACAAAAGTACTGATACCTCCTGGACTCCAAACGAAGTTCTGACAGCTCCTTTGCAAGTGAACTGTAACTGGAGATGAGGTCAGTGGGTAAACTGTTGCATGTGGAATGACCTTCTTCAGGATCTTTAGTGATAACCAATGTTTCTTTGTCCTTGGCGAGGGGCGTGACGGTTGATTCAGAATCAGCCTCTGTGGGATGCTCGGTTTCTGGTGAACCCTCCTCGTTTTCAAATGAAGACTGCAGCTGAAGCTTGAGCTCTAGATTACAATGATAGTATGCAAAATACAACAGTAGCTTTAAATTCTTTTATTGAATCACTAAAGAATAAGTATTTTTTCACACAATACCTGGGAGCAGAACTGTGATTGCATCTTGTACAGCCTGCCTCAGCAAGTTGTCCAAAGCAAACATCCAGTGAGGTTTAATCTGCTGTTTCCTCAGAACCTTCTTGACCTATAAACACAATAGACACATATACAGTTGAAGTCAGAATTATTAGCCCCCCTTTGATTTTTTTTCTTTTTTAAATATTTCCCAAATAATGTTTAACAGAGCAAGGGAATTTTCACAGTATGTCTGATAATATTTTTTCTTCTGGAGAAACTCTTATTTGTGTTATTTCGGCTAGAATAAAAGCAGTTTTTGATTTTTTAAAACTCATTTTAAGGACAAAATTATTAGATATTATTAAATAAATTAGTTATTAGAAATGAGTTAATAAAACTATTATGTTTAGAAATGTGTGGAAAAAATCTGCTCTCTGTTAAACAGAAATTGGGAAAAAAATAAACAGGGGGGCTAATAATTCTGACTTCAACTATAAATTTCAGTTCACACAAAAATTATATTTCTGAATTATGACTTCCATAGTATTTGTTTTTACTGACAATGGATGTCAATGGTTACAGGTTTTTTTTTTTTACCACAGTTTTATAACCACTTAAGTCTGAGTTAATAGTACATAAAGTTTCATTTTTGGGTGAACTATCCCTTTACACGCCTCAGTAAAGCAACATCATTTACCAAAAAATAAAACATTTGGAAAATCTTCATATTGCAAAACAGACATGATAGACAGAAAAGTTTGGTCTAAAGACTTTCAGGTCTACTCTGTTTTTTATAAGCATATTGTGCATTTGTTATGACAACTGTTAGCATAATCAACCTTTAGCATCACATATCATTATGTTTCTGCCTAATATCATCATCAATCCACATCAAATGGATATCAGGGGTTATTTCAGACACTCTCTTTTTGCTTTACATGCAATCAGATGTCCTCTTAGGTGGTCCTTGGTAAATAAAAGCCACAAAAGGAGTCTAGACCTTCTGTCTTGAGTTTATAACAGACTAAGGTAAAGACAAAAAACATACGGCATCCTGGAAGCTGAAGAGCACCGCCTGCAGGCTGCTGAGAGGCACAGAGGAGTTTAAAAGGCTGGAGCGTAAAGTCAGCAGGCTGTTGGTCAGGAGTCTTTTGTCTGGAGAGCGGATGTTTTCTCGCAGGCAGCCAATCAGTTCGCTGATGTGATCTGAGGTGATGCACGGCTCCTCCGCCTGCGAGGAGAGAAAACAATCCTTTATACGCCTCAATTCAGAGTAGTGTTGTGACAACCTTCAACATCAGACATCTCTGATGATAAAATCTCTCATGACAGGGGAGAATGCCAATCTACCTGCGGCATTGTTTCCTGAATGTTTTGAACTACATGGCTGATGTCCTCTGTAAGGATCCTGTGTAGCGTATCCCTCCGCTCACTGTCTTTTCTCAGCATAAACAGACCTAGATTCTCTCCAGAACCTGATGGACTTGTGGTCATGTCTATCTGAGGCTCATCTGGCACTCTATAGACAGAAAAAAAAACAGAAAAAATGTAGGCGAACAAGTGATTTCAGTACCTGAAAGTAAAGTACCCTCCCAATATTGGCACCTTTTGTAAATATGAGCAGAGATGCCTGTGAAAAACAAATCTTTATTGTTCAATTATTTGATATTTTTGTCCAAAAAATGAAGATGCTTAAGTTTGTTTTTGCATAAGGGAGGAGGCTTTTTTGAGAGACACTTTCAAGCACTATTTTTGGTGAATACAGTGATGTGGGTGTGTTTTGGATGCTTTCTGAATCTTCAGACCCTTGGCGTTTGTTTTTACCTCTCAAACCACCATTTTCCTAACATTGTGTTTTGTCAAGATCAAAACACATATCATTTCAGGCTGATTCATAACACTTCCAGTTCCCTAGAATTTCTTTACCCTTTCACATTTAATTTTTCAACACTCCCACTGAGTTTTTTTAATATGACCATTATTTAGAGCGCATCACTTTTTTGAACTTGACGTATCAAGTTAATCACAACACTGCAGCCCTGAGGATTTTTTGCCTCAACATATTTTTGTTTCTTTTTGCTCTTTACTGCAAATATTCACAAACATCCAAATTATATTGTAAAATATCTGATATTCCGATTCTCAATTATTTGTAGGAACGTGTTTTTTGTATGTGCTTATAACGTACTTACATGTACTCAATACACTTCATTGAACATATACACATAGACATCACCTATATACACACCATATAACTACAGGTTAACTATTCTTAAATTTAATAACTTTAATTGTTAAAAGCGATTAGTTACTAGTTAATTAGTTAAAATTATTAGTAACTACTAAAGTTATGGTAACTTATAAACATAACTTTTTAGATTTTAATTGTAATGCAATAATGTGTACCTTGTGTAAAGCTGCTTTGAATCAATAATTATTGTGAAAAGTAAAAATAAATTTTAATTGAATTGTATATATTTATGTCATGATTACCAGCGATCTAACCACCAGAGGTCACTGGTAAACACTCACATTCACATGAACTACAAATCTGCTGGTAAATGGACTACAAGAACCAGTCATGCTCCACACACATAACCGGATCCAAATCCTGACTAATTTGAATAAACACATCTGATGCTGCTCAAGTACTGATTACACACACATATATACAGCTCACTTTGAGACACTCAGTCTTGTTACCTGTTTTAGTGACACTACAACACATTTTCCTTTGTCTTGTTTTTCCATGTTTTTGATCCTTGCCTTGTTTATTTGTTAAATCCTGTTTGCTGCCTGCCTTTTGACAATCTGCCTGTTATTTTGAGTAGTGGTGGGCATGAAACATGAAACAGTGATGATTCATGAAACACTGAAACAGTTGAAGTAAATATGTCGAAGCTTCGAAACGTTTCGAAACCCCACTCTACAATGACACCTAGTGGTCATTTTTCATGTATTGCACTGAAACGGCTTCAGCAAAGGACAGTTGAGCAAATGGAGGTATTAAACCCCTTTTTGTATAAATAAACTGTCAAGTGATTTAGAGGAGTGGTTAAGGTTTTCGACCACCATGCAGGGATAGTGGGTTCGAATCCAGGCTGATACAGCTATTTTGAAATGCTTTAATATCAGTTGGTAATGCTTTGTTCTTGTATCGTTTTGTTTCAACATTGGTCTGACATCCAAATAAACACTGTGAATAAATGTGTCTTGTTTTGGTCATAAAACAGAGTTGTTGCTAGATCAGACACAGAATTTATTTATATTATTCATTAAATTTCCCTTTTATTGTATTTTATTAATGTCTACCCAAACCCTAGACACCTTAGTCACATGACTTGGGTGTTTCGGATCAAGCTTCGGTACAGTTTTTCGAAACACTTGCGCTTCAGGATCTCGATACTGTGATGAAACGTCAGTTTCACGTCAGCCATCCCTAATTTTGACTTCGACTCTGGATTGCCCTCATACATCTGTTTGCCCCTGTATTGACCACTACTTGGCTGACCATTCTAATAAACCTGCATGTGGATCCGCACCTCTGTTGTCAGTGTCACATCCCTGGTTACAATTTTGTCATTTAATTAACTTAATTGTAAAAAAGTTATTTGATCCATGATGTATGATACCATGCGAATTTGCGCTTCAATGGAGAGATGAGAGCTGCTGGATTTATAACATGTTAGTTTCTCAACTACTCCTGAAACACATCAATGTACAGTAAGTGACTGTTTAACTTGAAGAATAACGTTCTAGTAACCTAAACAGAATAAAAGTGTGCAACTGACATAAAGCACTTTGTCCGATTATGTTTACAAATAATTGTTTTTGCCATCTTTGAAAACATACTAGCACTTTTTAGAAAACCATAAATGTTATTCTCTGCTATATTTATTGCGATGTGAATATAATCATGTCACCAGCTCACTTGAATAGCTCAATTTGGAAAGAACTTATAATTTTATGTTGATTAGGATCATTTCATAGGCCAGATGATCTGTATAAATCTGCATAAATGTATTTATTTTGGTGAGTCTAACTGTTTTTAAGTATGAGTTGAATAATCAATTGTAAGCAAATAAAACTGCGTAGTCTTCATTGTATGAAAATTAAATGTAATCAAATGTTCATTGTTGTAATTCTTGGCCTTAAAAACAAATGAAAAAACACTCTTTCGCTCTATTTTAAGGTTAAATATCACAATCACTCAACAATGTGGTTCCTGGTCAGTTATAATTACACTCAAATTTCTTGAGGGATGAATAAACTAAAGCAGATTTTGACATTGCGAATCGTGCAATGCGACTAATGCGAGTGATCACATTGCAATTTCGATGCTGAAATGATATATTGTGCAGCCCTAGTCTGAAACCTAAAATGAACGTTATTTGTTTGAAAACACTGATAAACTGTGACTTATGACAGCACCAGCCATGGCGGAAAAGCAGATTTGAATTTAGCAGCTGATCGTGTGACGCACTGAGCATTCTAATCACACCATTTTGTTTGTAATAAAAATAATTAACACTTTAAAGGGTTAATTATTGTCTCTATAGTGAAAATGAGCATTTTTTTTAGGTAAAAATGTAAAATATTAATAGGAATACACTTCAAAAATAGTTTTCTGTGCTATGTATGTCTACAGAACGAGTCAATGTTTGTTATTTCTTGTTCTGTGTATATATAAAACCTTAAAATAAAGTAACAAAAAAGATAATTCTCATATAAATTTATATATGTGCCAATAATTTTGACATTTATTTATAAAGCTGCTGTTTGTTCTCAATCAGAGCAGTGTTTTAGTTAACAATCTAAGAAAACAAAACAAAAGATCAAACAATAAAGACATTTTTCACAGCCTTCTTTGCTCATATTTACCCTCATTTCAGTATTAGTGGAGGACATAGTGCTTTAAATGATATGGACATATAATTGCAGGAATCTGGGATGTGATACGTGGACTCACGTCAGGAAGCCACTGGTGCTTGGAGGACTTTCAGCAATATTGTTTCCTTTGAAGGCAGAAGTGGCTCTTCTCAGATCAAAAGAGCAGGACAGTTCATTGTGCTCCACATCTGTGTTCTCCACACGCAACGCAACAGGAACCGACATGCTCCTGTGAAATTCTCCTATAACATAGGACAAATAATCTCAAACGTCTAATATCCAATGTGGATAATGTCTAGCACATTAAAGTATTTTTTTCTGTTTCTGAGTTCATTTTAAATTAAGATTAGCTTTTTTATATATAAAGATCAAAATACAACGGTCCGGAAAACTTTGTGGACACTTTAGAAGGAATATATTTATTTAATTATTATTTGTTGTACATTTTTAATTAAATAATATATTATTTAAAAATATTCTATAAAAATGACCCATTTCAGACATATTTCAAATGTAAATAATTTGATGAAATATTACATTAACTTATTATGAAATGTAGTATGATCATGTTATATATTTTTAAAAATGCGGTACTTATTAAAATTTATAACATGATCATACTACATTTCATACAATAATCAGAATAAGCATGTTTTTTTCACCAAAATCTAAAATAAATATATCATCTTTTGCTATATGATGATGGAACATTTTTTCTCTTACATTTGAGCTTTATTTTTACACAAGTAAACACTTTACATCCATTTAATAGGTTTTACATACAAAACCACTTCATTAAATTTAATTTGATGCACACAACTAAATCTTTTTGACCAATGAAGAGCTTATTAAAACTCCCAGGAAAATATATCATGGCTTCTTCTTAATGTTAAAATTCTTTTATTTTGGTGGCCAGTTTTGAAAATGACCAGTTTTTTTAATAAAATCATTCTGACCAGTGAACAGCTTATTAAACTCAGGAGAAAATATATCATGGCTTCACCTAAATGTTAAAAGCCTTTTATTTTTGTGGTCAGTAGTAAAAATTACACTTTGGTGGAAACTAAGGCTGCGTCCAAAATTGCATACTTCTTTACTATGTAGTAAGCTAAAAACAGTATGCAAGCCAAGTAATATATCCGAATTCATAGAATTCGAAAAACAATATGCGAGAAGTACCCAGATGACCTACTACTTCCGATGACATTCTGAAGTGTGCATCCGATGGTTGTTGTTAGAACGAATATAGCTGAAAGTTAATGACAATTATTTATATTATTTATCAAATTTCCAATTTATTGTATTTTATTAACGTCGACCCCCACCCCAACCCTAAACTCAATCGTCGCAGTACTGTAAAAATATTATTTATTGTTATACAGCGTCATAAAAAAATGCTGCTATACTGATGTGCATATCGCACTTCCAGTCGGGTGCTTATCCAATCTAGACCGCATCTGATAGACACTACGATCCTATGACACACCTCGAGAGAATTCATGAATGGGACTAAAGCGACGTAACTGACGTGGGTAGGTCACATCATCATGACAAAATAGCGAATGCAGTACGTTCAAGTTCCATTCATACTACTCGCATTCATACTGTATAGAACATACTTTTCTAATGGCTGAGAAGTAAATTCAAATGCAGTACCTACTGAGTAGTAGGCTATTTCGGATACAGCCTAATATTTTATATAACCTTAACAAAATAATAATAATAATAATAATAATAATATTACATATTTTATATATTATTTTTATTATAACTTTTTACTTTTAAATTGTTTTATTTTAGATTTAATTGCAAAAAAAAACTTTAAGTAAAAAAATAAGTAGACTGCAAAGCTGTATAAACATAAATGGACATTAGAGGGCAATAAAAAGTAGTGAGTGTGCAATGACTACATTTTGTTTAAGTTAAAAGTGCCAAAGTACCACTCTTTTACAGCTGTTGTTTTTGAACATGGTTATACTTGCTCACCGGCAGGTTCTTTCAGGCTGTTGTCCGCCAGAGGTTTTAGTCTCTTCTTGGCACTGGCCTTCAGAAAGCCGTTCTTCAGGAGCTCTGATGCCGTGGTTCTCTTGTCTGGGTTTGGCTCAAAGCAGCACATGATGAAGTCTTTGGCTTGCTCTGACATGCACTCCGGCACTGCAGGGTGAATCTTAAACATGCCCACCTGCAGAAAAACAATTACTCACTAAACCTCATCATGTCATGTTTTATAGCTGATTTTCACATTTATTAGAAATTAGACTTCAGCTACTTGCCAGAGAAATAAGACAGAAATAACTCATTAAAAAAAGCATGTATGAATTTAATGGCATGTAACAGACATTGTGAACACTAATTTATATTAACTCAAAAAACAACTAAAAAGACTACTATATATATATATATATATATATATATATATATATATATATATATATAAATAAACTAAATTAAAGAATTAAAAGGCAAAAATAAAACGCAATAACTGAAATGGCAACTGAAACTTAAATAGAAATATCTATAAAACCATAGACTTAAAAGAAGGCAAAAACACAAAACAAAAACTAAAACTAAAACTGTAAAATTAAATCAGGAAATAAATGTCTGTTTATATATTTAAGAATAACAGTAATAATTATACTATAAAAATGTATAGATATTTAAAAAAAATTATCAAGGAAATGTCAAAAACAGAAAACAAATTACAATAAAAATGTAAATGAATAAGCAATACAAAAAATGTCCATATAATTAACTTTTAACAAACTAATAAAAATTGGAATGAAATATATTGTATGACATGTTTTTAAAAAACAATAACATGCATAAAAAAATAAATAATAATTGGGAATATTAATAAAATATTTTTAAATAATTATTTAGAAAGGGCTGTGCAATTAATAGAAATTGAATCACAATTGCGATTTGAAATGTTACGATTAGCTATCGCAAGAGGCTGCAATATGAAATATGTTTATTTAATTTTCCCCCGCCAGGCTTACTAGCCAATTGAGTGAGCACACTTTTGTTCTGTTTTAACGAAAAATACACTCGACTTTTTAAATTCTGGTCTTTTCAGCACCACCTTTGAACTTGTTATCATCATTTTTTCAATCAATCATTCAATCTCTCGCGTATCTCTTAACAAATGATCTTGCTGATAAGCAAGGTGCCGCTGTTGGGGAGTCAAATGATAATTACGTCACCATTAACCTGCTGGCTTCATTCTGCTCATGGGGCTGCGAGAAAATAAATATAAAGAGTGGAGCTGCGGTAAAATAATGAATAAAAAGAGTGAGGCTATGTTAAAACAAATGAATAAATAAATAAATAAATGACTGAATGAATGAATGAATTGAATGAATGAATGAATGAATGAATGAATGAATGAATGAATGAATGAATGAATGAATGAATGAATGAATGAATGAATGAAAGAAAAAAGTGCACCTGCTGAGAGTGCAGGCAGCTAGAGACACTGGCCCTCGCGGCCAAAAAACAGACCGGCCCCACCGGGAATATTTCCGATCCTTCCGATCAGCCAATCTGGGCCTAACTAACACTCACTGCATTTTAGCAGTGAAGAAGCTACAATACAGATTGAGTTGAAGCTTGACTACAAAACTAAATCGAAAATCTAATCAAAAACGCAATATCTGTCAAAAAAATAAATAAATTATATATATATATATATATATATATATATATATATATATATATATATATATATATATATATTATTTTTTTTATTAATTTATTATTATTATTTTATTATTATATATGTTTTTCAAAACTACACAGTCCTGGCATAAACTGTCTGTTTTCTTCAGACACAGATGCCTGGCCTTACACTGAATCTAATAAGCATCCAATGAGCATGAAATCGAGTTGGAATGTGAGAACGTAACATAAATAAACCTCACAGCTCATTTAACCTGGTTATATAACAATCCACTTAAAACAACACTCCAGATTCCTGCTTAAAAACCCGCAGCACCTTGAACATGGCTGCCTGAGGACTTCCCAGCTCATGAAAGGGTGGCTTTCCGGTGGCCATTTCAATGATAGTACAGCCCAGAGACCAGATATCAGCCGGTTTTCCATACCCACGAGGCCCCTGGTCGATGATCTCTGGAGCCATGTACTGCAAAGTCCCTGCGCACAAATGAACCATTAGGAGTTTGAAAAGCAAACACAGGAAAGTACATAATGTAATGTGAGAAGCAGTAAAGTATGTGCTGGGAGACTCACCTGTGAACGTCTCTGTACAGGGATTGATTCCTGCTAGTCTCTTAGAGGTGCCGAAATCGGATATCTTAAGCACACCGCTGTATGTGTTTACCAAAACATTATCACCCTGGTGAGAGGAAGAGTAATGCGGTTTAAACGATATGTTGATGAACAGATAGAGTGTCCTCCTCTAATATTGGTGCCATTGGTAAATATGAGCAAAGAGGCTGTGAAATAAACTTGGATACAATATATTTTATGGTGTCCTTGTCCAGTGTAACTATTTACTTACTAATTATAATGAATTACATGTACTTACTATATGGTTAGGGTTAGAATGTGGGTTAGGTTGAGGTGAAGTTATGTGTAATTTGACTACCCTTTTGTTATGTTTGGGATAAAAACATCCACTGAACTAAACTGCAGTAAAAATGCATCAGATTAATATTTTTTTTCTCTTTTTTTGCATAAATCTGTTAATCAAACTCAGTCCTGATCAAAACTACAAAATGTTTATAAAAATTACAGGATTTTAACTCTTTACTTGCCAAGTTCATAAATTATGTCACTGATTTGGTGAAAAAACAGAAACAGAATTACTCATTTTCAAAATAAAAAGTAGTTATGGATTGGATTTTTCTTTTTTATCACAGTCTTGGACATGTGAACAATTAGTAACAACATTAGCTTTGATGCATTGTTAGATTTTCATTTTTTTCACCCTAAGTTACTGTTGGTGGCTGTTTTTGCCCTATTGACTTCCATTATAACCACATTTGATGGCGCATAAATACACAGTCTAGTTTTCTCCATGTAGCTCTGAGAGCTGAGATGCATATTTAAATTTTCTTAGACACATCAAGTTAAGTGCACAAAGGTCACTCTTACACTTCCACACAATTTAATTAGCTGTTTACTCCATATAAAAGTTTTGCACAGGCCTATCTAAAGGGTTAATGGTGCAAATTGATGATCAACGGTAAAAATTACACATTTTTCCTCTTTCCAACAGGAAAAACCACCAACAATCAAAAACGCATGATTATATGGTGTCAGGGTTTTTTTTTTTTTTTTTAAAGTGGTTATAGTGGAAGTCAATGGGGCAAAAACAACCACCAACAATAAATTAGGGAGAACAAATGAAAATCAATCGAAAACAATGCATCAAAGGCAATGTTGTAGACTTTGATAAAAGGTTAAAAAAAAATCCTTTTTATATTTAAAATACATCATTTGTGTGTGTGTTTTTCACCAATCAGTGACATTGTTTAGGAATTTGGCAATTAAAAAGTTAAAATCCTGCAGTTTTCTAAGCAATTTAGTAGTTTTGATCAGGACTGATGGTTCATTTATGAAAAAAAAAAAAAAAAAAAAAATATATATATATATATATATATATATATATATATATATATATCCTCTGAGAAATTTGTTAAATATATGTATTACTATATATATTTATCTGATGCATTTTTACAGCAAGTTAATTCAGTAGATGTTTTCATCCCTAACATAACAAAAAGGGCAGAACATTTGCCCAGAGTGTATTATTGAGTTTTTTTTTTTATTTAAAGCATTTTATCAAAATACGATTTGTCATTAAAAGTCATTCCGCTAGCTGAAACACAGAAAAAGTTATGGCCAATATAACACTCAAAATCACCCCAGAGTGGATAAAAAAACATCTCCAGCAGTACATTAGGATTAAAGGTGTTTTGAGTTAATTATCTGATTAGAGTGTGGCACCATGGCTGTTTCTCAATAAGCATTCTTCAGCAATCATCCGTTCTTATGTTACGTCATCATCAACTGCCAAAGTTCAGTTCCAAAACTTAAGACAGCAAGAACGGAAGATGTGAGAAAATTCCACGATGTGATTCAGACTTGACCGCCAAACTCGCTCTAGAAGTCCCAGAAGTCATTGCGACTGAATAAAGGAGGTGGGAAGTGCAGCATTTTATATAGGTTTATTTTTACAGTTCAGATATATCACTTTTTTACCTCAGGAGTTGCCCTAAATGAGACTGTGAAAATAAACATTACCATGAAAACCTTAATAAACGAATGTAAATTCGTATTAAAAATCTGTTTTATTTGTATTGTGCAAAGTATATTCATAATTTTTTATGCACAGTATGTATATTGAAAAGGGGAAAAACAATAAATCATTGTATGAATGCTGCAATTTTTGAATAATTTTCCATTAAAAACGCGTGAAGGTCCTGTGACCATCAAAAAGAACCAAGGAAGAGTCAGCATCTAATTTCTCAGAGAGGACATGTTCTCTGTTCTCGTGGTCTCCAGAGTTCGTTCCTTCGAGGTAACTTGGCAAGACCGGCCTCCACAAGAACGTGAAGCTGCTGTCACACTTGACTTTTCTCCCCATAGACTTCCATTCATACGCACGCGAATACGTCACACCGGAAAGCAAAGTTCAAGCTTGGTGAACTCTGACCTGCAAAATCGCATCACTTGACTACGTGAGACCAGTCGAGGATCAAAACACGACCTCTCTGGACAGAAATTTAAACATGGAGCAATCGCTCGCTTTTTTTAAATGTCTAATAATCTTGTTTAACCCCGCCCCTTTTAACAGCACCATTCGACAGAATTTCGCACACACAAACTCAGGTGTCATCGCAGCTTAAGTCTGTTCTCTGCATCTTTGGAATTGAGAAACAGCCGATGTGTTTTGAGTTAATTAGCTGATAAGTGTGAGGCACCATGTGTCTTCAATACTGAGACCCTGAATTTGGAGTTTTCATTAGTTGTTATCAAAATTAAAAGACAAACACTTGAAATAGATCAGTTTGTGTGGAATAAATGTATACATTATACAAGTTTCACTTCTTGAATGGAATAAGAGAAATAAATCAACTTTTTGAAGATAATCTAATTATATGACCAGCACTTCTGTGTATATTAGGGATAAAAAATGCAAGCTGCTATTTATTTACTATTAGCCTGAATAATATATTACAACTCACATAAAATAAGTTTACATAAAGTCAGTGAGAAAATAATAACCATTTACAGGAGGTTCAAATGCTCGCTGAAGCTCCAAAAGTAAAAATAATAATAATAAAAATTATTTAAGAGTCAAGGGTTAAAAACTTTCTAACAGAAAATCAGGGTACATTTAAAATATTTTGTTTTCTGTGAAACATGCAAGTAACTTCTATATTTTGAAAGTGTAGTCCTATTAATATTTTACATGTTGGTACATCTGGGTGACGAGGAACAGGAAATTGCTTAATCAAGACCTGCTGTCTCACAGGGCTACATCTAGGGTAGGACAAATTCCCTCAGTCATTCATCAGAATGGGTAAAGCCAAAGAATGGAGATGTGATTTGAAGCTAAATGTTGTTGAGCTTCACAAAATGTGAACCGGCTATAAGAAAAGAGCAAAAACACTTCAACACTTTTACTCATCATTAATAATGCTAAATTTAAGTTAACTAGAAGTGTCATGAATCTGCCTGGAAGATGGAACATGTCTCCCTCTTGTCCAATTGCACTGTTAGGGTGGTCCAGAGGTCAAAAATGTCAGATTCACAGCTGGAGAATAAACTACAATTCAACATCACCACAAACTGATTGAAATGTTTTAAAAACAACAACAACAAACGAAATCATCTTCAGCATTTTTGTTAATATTTGCAGCAAAAGACAAGAAAGTTTAAAAATAAAGACTTGTTTTCCCCCCTGTGTTCTTTGCTCATATGTACCAAAGGTGCCAGCATTTGTGGAGGAAACTGTAGATGAAAGCAAAGGAAGCTTAATACCTTAATATCTCGATGGACGATCTGATTATCGTGGAGATATTTCAATCCATCCAGTATCTGCTTGGTGTAGAAGACAATGGTTGCTTCATTATCTTTAAGAGGACCCCATTTTGATCGCAATAGAGACGACAAGCTTCCTGCAAATGAAGAACAACACATGAATCAAGTGTCTTGAAATGTGCAGTATTCGGGGTTCAATGAGTGACGTAACTGAATAAACTGAAAGATGAAGACAGGACAGGACATATTGCATAGCCCCTCCCCTTTTTATACCAGTAGCATTTTATTTATATAACAGCTGACTCATTACAGCCACACTCTATAATAGCAATGCTAAATCTGTCTACCTGCCTACCCACTTTAAAAACAGATACAAGTAAACAAGTACATAAATGCACGTCAATAAACACGTCTAGACATATGCCATACATATTCAAATCCACATTCTCTTATAATGCAAACTTGGCATTAAAGTTAGATTTAAACTATTATTATATTTTATTATATTTAATTATTATATTTTCCACAATTTTAGGTTTAACTAGAAAAGTAAAGTTCACAGACAAACTTTAAGTTAGCTTGAGAAAGCCTTGTCTGAAAGTTTGAAGTAGTTTTAAAGTTTGAATAATTGAAGTGGTTAAGAAGTTTGAAACAGTTATAATTACATATATGTCTGCATGTTTCTAGTATGAACTGGCATCTTTTTTGCTAAGCTGTTAATAGGGGGATCTGAGTGGTTGCTAAGGTGTTGCTAAGTGGTTGCTAGGATGTTCTGAGTGGTAACTTAGGTGTTGCTAGGGCGTTTTGACTGGTTGCTAAGGCATTGCTAGTTGACATTTCTAGGCATTTGCTAAGGTGTTCTGAATGGTTGCTTAAGCATTGCAAGGTGGTTGCTAAGGTGTTTCTTAGCAGTAGCCAAGGTGTTCTAGGTCATTACTAAGGTGTTCCTATATGGTTGCTAGGGTGTTCTGAGTGGTTGCTAGGCAGTTGCTAAGGCGTTGCTAGGTGGTTGCTAAGGTGTTGCTAGGTGGTTGCTATGGTGTTACTAGGCTGTAGCTAAGTGGTCGCTAAGGTGTTGCTAATTGATTGCAAAGGTGTTCTAAGTCATTGTTAGGTGGTTGCTAGGGTATAGTGACTGGTTACTAGGCAGTTGCTAAAGTGTTGCTAGGTGGTTGCTGATGTGTTGCTAGGTGGTTTGTTAGGTGTTCCAAGTCGTTGCTAGGTGGTTACTAGGGTGTTCTGAGTGGTTGCTAAGCAGTTGCTAGGTGGTTTTAAGGTGTTGCTTGGCGGTTGCTAAGGTGTTTTAAGTAGTTGCTCGAATTAGCATATGAATTAGCATGTTGCTAGCATGTTTCTAGCACAGATTAGCATGTTGCTAGCATGGATCTAGTATGAATAAGCATGTTACTATGTTTCTAGTATAAACTAAGTTTAGTCCAATGTTAAGTCAATGGGACTTTCCCGAATTTTCCGGGTCTGTTTTCAGAAAACTGTAAGTCGGATCAGTTGGAAAAGATATAGCAACCCGAGTCAGACCAGTTTGGAGGTTTGGAGTTAGTTTGGTGGTTGTAGTATGAACAGTCTAGGAGGAGATGCATATAGAAATTAGTCTCAGAGAAAAAAGAAGATGGAAGAATAATGAGTTTATGTAGTATAACAGTATGATGGTTTTCTCAAGCCACCATGGTGATTATTGAAGATGTCAAATGGTGTAACACTATTCCTGACCCATCTACAGAATGTGCGGGTCATTTAGATTTTTTTTAAGGAACAAACATGTATGTTCACAACTGTAGTAGTAAAAAAGCAATAAAAATCCTTAAATGCTTGTAAGTGCGCACATCTTACATTATTTAAAAAGGGTTTTTGTGAATTATTATTTTTCAAATTTTTTTATTACAACATGACACGGTTTTATTCTATCTGAGTAACTAAAAAGATAAATGTAAAAGCAGTTATTGTGAAGCTGTTGTTTTTATATTATACTGATCTCCCCATAAGGGTCTACAGTTACATAATTTCCTGTTTCTTTCAATTCTGTCACATTAACAAAACAGCTTCCTGCAGGGTGGTTTGACACTATACTGACCTTGATTTGTCAAACAAAAGCTTGTCAAATATTGAACTAATAATTGTTTGCAAAGGATTTAACTTTTTTTCATAGCTCAGTATGTTGACATTTCTGAATTAAATCTCAATGCACAAATTATTATAAAAATATACAGTATTAAATCAAAGTGTAAAACCTGCTGATTGGAGAGAAAGTGTAGGACTATCACACTCCCTGGTCTAGATGACCGTTATGCCACTCACTCAAGCATAACTTTCTCTGAACTGGTCTGTTTTGTTCAGTGTTTCATATTTCCAATACACTCCCAGCTGGAGACCTACCCAGCACATACAAACATTACACACAACACACCCTTCCTCAAAACCAAGGAATATCAAACAAGAAAAAGCTTAAGGTTCTGTGAAGTAACTTAAATAGAAAGACAGGCGGAAAACATTGAGAAGCCCCTCCCCTTTTTAAAATAATAGCCAACTGCGTTGAATTTCCATCACAGCTCTCAGTAGATCTGTTGAGATGAAGTGCATGATGTTGTTAAATGTTGATTCTTATTGCAGAACTGTAAGGTTTAAATGCTTATATCTTCTAAAAGTCAATTTTGTCACTTTTTTTGTCACACTTGCACATGGATAACCTTAAAGCCTTGTTCACACCAAGCATAAGTATAACGATAAATATATCTGCATCTATTCTAATGAAAGCTAAAAATCCATTTAATTTTAGTTTAAACGTTTTATTTGGCATTAGCCCCTGTAACCAGCAGATGTCCTCAGTGGGCTACTAGCGCATCTGACCAGTGAATCCAGCTTGTGTAATCTTCAATTAAAAGTATATTGATCTGATCAAAGGAATTTAGTGATTGTAGTCAGTAGGGGAGTGACGAGACGCTTACTCCACGAAACAAGACAAGACATGAGATTGGGTTCACGAGAACGAGACGGAATGAAATTTTTACAGTTTTTAAGAAATCTTCAATAAGGAAATATATAAATGGAAAATAATCTTTTATTTATTTCGTTCATTTTCTTTTTGGCTTAGTTCCTTTATTAATCAGGGGTCACCACAGCCGAATGAACCGCCAACTTATCCAGCATATGTTTTACACCGGATGCCCCTCCAACTGCAACCCATCTCTAGGAAAGTGGAAAAAAACTGAAAAAAATTTAATAAATAAATAAAAAAAAACACTAAATGCAATTGGTACTTTTTAAATCAACCTGTAATGAATGTTATATTGCTTCTACAGTATTTTAATGAATTTTATGCAGTAAAGGACATGCAAACACTGCTAAAGATTTAATATAAACTCTATTGACTGGCTCTATTGACTCCCCTGTACAGTTTCACATGAGAAATCAAACTCCATTCTACAAATGGAACTTTTTAACGTGTGTTCAGTGGGGATGATGATGATGATGATGACGACGGGTGTGTGTGTCTGTGGTCCTTTACTGACTGGATAGGTGCAGAGAATAGTGTCAAAAATAGCTGAGAAAAAAAAGTTCTGAAAGTGATCCAATAATATAATTTCTTGATATCTTTACGGTTACAATTATGGTCTGTTATTTTAAATGTAGAAGGGTTTCTAGAACATCATCTTTATTGTTATTTTTATAGTTATTATACTTGGGATGAATGGACCTTTATACATAAATACTAACACCCGACAAACTTAAGTTAGAATATGATAAAAAAAAGAGCAAAGCACACCACACCTCCAGGAACCTCCTCCATGAAGATCTTGATGAAGCCATCCTCGCTGACTGAGCCCAAATACTGAACAATGTTCCTGTGTTTTAACCTCTTGTGCAGAGCAATCTCCTCATGAAGCGGCTGAGAGTAGCTGAGAGCCAGAAAGAGAAAAAAAAGACAAGAATGAGGCCAAAATAGAGGACAAAAAGTAAATATTATGATCATCTCTGCACAATAATAAGGGTTTTATGGGCATATTTGGTCAAAACAGCAGAGCGGCAATATTGAATCACATGGAGAGGTCTGCATCTGCTAAGTGTCCATGTGAGGACAGTTTAAACAAGCATTAGTTCAGAGGACAAACATTACTGGGCCACAGGGACCTCTGAACACGGTCAGAGGCCAACAAACAAGCACTGGATTTGTATTGAAGCAGATCAACAGTGTGTCAATCAAGATTTGGCATAAACAACCTGTTATTAAAGGGGTAACAATTCTTTTGTATTTAATAAATGCTTCAAAGTTTAATATTTCTTAATTATTACTATTGTATGTTTAACATAAATATATTAATTTATATATGTTTCTAGGGTAAATATTAATTATATTTAAATTAGTTTTATTTGCTAAAGTTGGGGAATATTTCAGTAGTTGTTGAGTTATAGTATGTTTTCAGACATATGCAAACAAAATTTTACCTACATAAACGGAATTAAGTTATATTTGTTTTTTATGTCATTCAACTTGATTATATAGACCATTTTGAGGGATGTAAAAAATAACAACGGATATTTATACATGCTGACATATTTCCTGTTTTACCTTTTTAATTTCCATAGCTTCCAAGAATCAAGAAAAATCCACATATTGATAAATAAGGTTCAGATAGCTGATTTAACTTGATGTTAAATTTCATAAACTAATTTCGAGAGGAGTATGTTGAGCACAACTGGCTTCTCATATGTAATCAGTAATAATCCAATCAAAGTGATCCAAGCTTACAATAAATAGATCATTTTCACCCAACTGCTCTATCTTCGTTTTGGAAGAATTCCCCCTTTCATCCCATCTCCTCCTGTTCCTCCTTTTTCTAAGGGGGAGCTCTCGAGACCTATCTGATCTTGGATCCACTTATATGCTTACTGACCGGGCGGAAGCCTTGGGCTCAAGTATCTTCGAACTCAGGGTTCTCTCCAATGACAGCATGCCAGACCTGCTATTAACTCTAAGCATATCTAAGTGGGAACTCTTGAAGTTATGATTGAATCGCCTCTTGTTACAGTTGTAATAGTATAAATAAATATAAATATAATAATAAATATAATGTAATAGTTTGAGAACAAGCAGGACATGTTCATGGGCCAATGACATCACCACATTGAAATGGTCTATAGGTCTCCAAAGAATGGAATTTAAGCTCAAAATACCTTTAAATTTTTTATCTATTAAATCATGTTGTAAATGCCCCTAATTGGGTTGAAACAAAAACACTCTGTTTTCATCTGTGTCTCTTTAAATGCAAATGAGGCCGCTGCTTTCACGCTCTTTCTAGAAGAGGCTTATTTACATCTGCATGCATTTGAAAGTTAAGTCATTTTAAAATTCCTGATGTTTTGCACACACAGACACAGAGTACAAATGTCAGCTGACGAACAACACATCACTGAGCTTGATGTCACTTCTTTTACTTTACATGGCAAATACACACAAGGTTGTGTCTGTGAACGTATAGAGTTGGTAAAGAATGTGTGAAATTAGTGAAATACACTACCTGACAAAAGTCTTGTCGCCTATCCAATCACAACAAATAATAACTTGACTTCAAGCTGATTCATTTCATGTCAAAAGTGGCTTATATAAAAGGCAAAGGCCTCTAGATTATGAATGTTTTACAAAAATAAAATATGATTGTTCCTTAATTTTAATTATTTAACTAGGACAGTAAGGTCTGGCTTTAAAAAAAAGTCTTGTCACCTAACAGAAATAATGTACAGTATAGAATATAAAGTCATGGTGCAGTGGAAAAGAATTAATATTGTGTATGACTCCCATCAGCTTGGACGACTGCATCCATACATCTCTGCAAGGACTAAAATAACTTAATTAATTAAAGTCATCTGGAATGGCAAAGAAAGTGTTCTTACAGGACTCCCAGAGTTCATTTATTCTCTGGATTCATCTTCAATGGCTCCTCCTTCATCTTATCTCAGACATGCTCAATAATGTTTATGTCTGGTGACTGGGCTGGCCAATCCTGGAGCCCCTTGACCTTCTTTGCTTTCAGGAACTTAGATGTGGAGGCTGAAGTATGAAAAGGAGTGATATCCTGCTGAAGAATTTGCCCTCTCCTGTGGTTTGTAATTTAATTGGCAGCATAAATGTCTTGCAACATCAGCAGCCTGAGGTATCAACCACACTACAGATCTCTCTTGAATGTAACACCAAACCATAATTTTTCCTTTCCCCAAACTTGACTAATTTCTATAAGAATCTTAGGTCCATATGGGTTCCAATAGGTCTTCTGTAGTATTTGTGATGATTGTGATGCAGTTCAACAGATGATTCATCAGAAAAATCTGCCTTCAGCCACTTTTTCCAAATGATCAACTAGTAATCAAGTTATTATTTGTTGCTCTCAAAACTTGGATCGACAACAAGACTTTTGTCAGGTAGTGAAAAAGCTTTTTTACAGCACACTACTAAAGTTTTTTTTTTATGTGGAAACAGTCAAATTGAGCACTAACAGAAGTTGAAAGTGTAAAAAGTCATATAGGGGCCATTTAAATTCAACTCAAAATATTAAAGAACAAAGAAAAAAATGCTTATACGTGCTGTCCTTCTCTGGAATCTCTTTGATTGCGATGCGCACTTGATTGCTGAGGTCCCGTCCAGCGTACACCACTCCATAGGTTCCTTTACCCAGCACCACTTTGTCTCCATTCTCATTCCTCTCATAAATGTACTGAAAGACAAACAGCAGCATTATAGATAAACTGCATCCACATTGCTATAGGTATCTTCCAACCTAGGCTCATTCTGAAAACGTACCCCTATATACATTTCTGGAGAGCAACAAACCTCCCACAAGGTTAGTTTTTTTGCTGTTTTTGTTTTAGCGAATCCACAGCTTTGTACGCTTATTGAGATCTCAAATTTGTGCCATTCACGCCTGCTTTTCTTGTGTAAATTCACAATAGGCCGCTGTCACCTGACTGACTGACTTACTGACTAATTGACTGACCCACCCTCCTCTTTCCATAATCCCAACCGATAGTGTTTTCCAATTTTATCCAGAAAACTCATGATATTCATAGAAACATTGCAAATGACATTTCTCTCACGATTTACTGACCATCCACTTAATTTAAACTCATTTAAGTTTCTTTGTTCTGTTGAACACAAAAGAAAATAGTTTGGAAAATGTTAATAACTGATAGACATTGACTTCCCAAGTATTTTTTTAGTTCTATGGCTGCACGAATTTCTAACATTCCTCAGTCAAAATACCTTCTTTTCTTTTCAACAGAACCCCAAAAAAAAAAAAAAAAAATTAAAGGGCACCTATTTTAAACCTTTTTTAAGATTTAAGATTAGTCTTTTGTGTCTTCAGAATGTGTCTGGAAAGTTTCAGATCAAAACACCCATCACATTATTTATTATAGCTTGTGTGTAGCTGTTTCTGTTGCCTGTGTTTTTAATGGTAGTTCTCCCCCCACCCCATCGTTCCCACGTGTCTGTCAGACTGTGCCTCAATCTCCACCTCGGCTTCGTCAGATAAACAGCACAGTGACAGACATGAAGGAAGCAGATCTCATGTAACCTTTGTGAAAAATGCTACAGTAAGAACTTTCCCAATGATTGTTTGATTTGTTGTCGAGTTAATTCAAGCCTTTCTGCAATGATGAGTCACACACAATGTCGTTACAAGGTTCACGCAGACACACAGCAGGGACACACACAGTACGCGCTTTATACTTTGCATTGTTTTTGCATACAAATGTGACATGTGGATACATGTTCATATCCACTGCTGTAAGGATATCCATTATGTTAATGTACAAAATAACTGGTATTGAAGCGTCTTCTTTTATAATTGTACTGGCATACGACTGTGGTGATAAAGTAAAGATGGTAAAAATCGCTGTAATTCATAACAAATATGTACTGTTTTAAAAACATTTTCAATTTGTAAAACTAATTCTTGATCCTATTTGATGATGACTGATAAGCTAAACAGATCTGTTAATTCTGGTTGCTTAGTGCACGTCCTGTCTTGTGGATAAAATTATACATGTTACTATGAAGATATGTTAATACAACGGCTGTCAATCAATTCGGTGGGTGGGGAAACGGCACTCCTACGTCACGTTGCGGTCAAAATATGAGGGATCTGGATCCTATTTTAACATCAGAGACTTACTGTCTTTATATTCCCCCAATAAGACTGTGGACACACTATGCCTACATACAGTTCTGTCCAAACTGCTTACAAAAGAGGATTTTCATCATAGGTGCCCTTTAAGGTTATAAACCACTTTAAACTGCATTGATTTGAAAAATAGTAAACTTAAATTTGACATTTTAACAATATTTCCCAACAGCACATTTTTATACTAAATAAATGCAAAAAAAGTCATGTAACTTTCTGATATGAACTATTTTATGAAGTAGTAATTGTTATTTAAAGATTACTTCTGTGCTTCACATTTGAGTATGGCACAAAGAAGTATTACATTTCACATCTAACTGCTACATTCAACAACCCCCAAACAAAATGGACACAAGCAGCAGGAAGTAGGTTTAAATGTGGAGTCAGGTCAATAATAGACACTAAAAGAGGAAGCAACTAGACAGACATGCAGCTGCTCCTGATCTTCTACATTGCATCCGAAGTGATACTTAATTAAAAAGAACTATTTGGTCACAAGGTATGCTTGATGATTCAGAAAATTATCTCAATTGCAACCAGTTCTGAAAAACCATACTCAAGTAAAAGCACCATTACCTTCCCAAAAAATATAGTCCAAATAGATTAAAGGTATTTGTTTTAAATATTATTCAAAGGATGAGTAAATGGTAGCTGTTCTAAAAGTACTCATGAGTAGTGAGCAGTGAGTATTATGCAGTCTAAATAATTCCACCTTATTCCATGCTAATTAAAAATGCAGTTTACATCAGTGCCATTTTAAGGGTGTTTATAAAGTTAAAGTCAGAATTATTCGCCCCACGATTTTTTTTTCTTTTTAAAATATTTATCAAATTATGTTAAACAGGGAAAGGAAATTTTCACAGTATGTCTGATAATATTTTTTCTTCTGGAGAAAGTCTTATTTGTTTCATTTCAGCTAGAATAAAAACAGTTATTCATTTTTAAGCAGCATTTTAAGGACAAAATTATTAGCCCCTTTAAGCTAATTTTTTTTTTTTCAATAGTCTAAAGAACAAACCATCATTATACAATAACTTGCCTAATTACCCTAACCTGCCTAGTTAACCTAATTAACCCAGTTAAGCCTTTAGATGTCACTTTAAGCTGTATAGAAATGTCTTGAAAAATATCTAGTCAAATATCAACTATTATTTACTGTCATCATGGCAAAAATAAAAAAAAATCAGTTATTAAAGATGAGTAATTAAAATTATTATGTTTAGAAATGTGTTAAAAAAATGGGGGAAAAATAAACTAATTGTGGGGCTAACAATTCAGAAGGGGCTAATAATTCTGATTTCAACTGTAACTGTTAGCTAAAATAATTGGCATTCGGGGAGAACACATTATATTACTATATACACTTAAAATAAGCCGTCAGAAAGCAGGATAACACGTTTAAATGCGGAGTGAAATCTGTGTAACCTAACCCTGTATTTACACCACTGAGAGAGCGTCAAATACTTCTTCTTTGGAGTTTAACAGCAGCTGCCATCCATAAGATGTCATCTGCTGTTTTTACTTTGGCTTCGTTCTCATTTAATATATTCGTCCTTCCAGTCCAGTCCTCCTTAAATAACTAAATACAAACAATCTTCCTTGTCCTCCACTTATGCATTCCATTATTTTTTAAAATCATATTCTCCTATGCCTATTTCCCGTAGCTGATCTTATAACTCTTGTATCTCCTGTGTATATTTCTCACATGATATAAAGATGCGTTTAACTCTTTCTTCCACTTGGCATTTATTGCACACCCCAGTTGGATGAGCATCAGAGTAGGCAAAAATGACAAGACATTCATTTTCAATGGGAGCCGAGCTCTGCTGAAAGCAGTATGGTGCGTTTTGAACGGTGAGCATCAAGGAGAGTTGAAATCAGGTCAACTTTTATCGTAATGAGCTATGACGCGGTTCAGGCTGCAACCTATTGGAATGTACTAGCCCACTGTTTGATAGGGTTCCAGAGAATATAAAATAAATGCTGGTTCAGTGTCCGACCACATTAGTTCCCAACCAAAACAAAGCACAGAGGTTGAGTAATGCTATGGTGAGTTTGTAGCAATGTAGGATGCACACAGAATACATGTCATTGGCGGCACAGTGTGGAGTTTGCATGTTTTCTCCGTGTTCGTCCAGGTGCTCCGGTTTCACTCACAGTCCAAACACATGCGCTATAGGTGAATTGAATGAACTAAATTGGCTGTAATGTATGAGTGTATGTGAATGTGATATAGTATGGGTGTTTCCCAGTACTGGGTTGCAGCTGGAAGGGCATGTGCTACTTAAAACACATGCTGGAATAGTTGGCGGTTATTTTCTCTGTGGCAACCCCTGACAAATAAGGGACTAAGCCAAAGGAAAATTAATAAATTAATGGATACATGCAATTTGTACCTGTATTTGAAAATGTAACATTCTGTAGTGCATTTACTTATTGTTTAAGCATTTAGCATTTCTATTTCATCTTCATGCCCATTATATAGTGGGCACTCTTTAACCTTTCATGCAGTTTAAGCTGTCTCAGTCGTTGCATGTAAACATTTTGCATCTTCTTGAACACTTTTTGTGCTTCCTGCTGTACATGTTTGCTGCATTTAAAAAAACAACAATCTTACAATTTGTCGATGGACGATTTGATTGGATGGGAATGGGGGACTGATAATTCTACTTTGTCAATTACTGTAGACTAGAAAAAAATAAACATTAAAATTAGTGACTGCAGGTTAAAGGAAAATAACACAATAAAGCACTTAGACAGTACTCAAGTAAAAGTACAGAGCATATTTTTATACTACTTTATAAAGAAGGAATCTTGAGAAACACTACTCAGTTTTTCCAACAAAACATGTTCAGGCAAAACAAAAATACTAGTGGCTCCTGATGATTCACTGATATCATATGAAGTAAATTGTTCAAGAAAATAAACATATACAAAATTATTACATTTAAAGAGTCAGATGGAATTGCTGCAATTCCATCAACAATGATGTACATGTTCAACAAATAATTTTGCTTCAAATCATTTAAACTGCAGTGTCAGCGCATTTAGAAATAACAGTTTGTTGGCAAAAGCCTCTAAACGCCTCTTACCTTTGACAGCAAAAGCCGCTATATCACAAGAACCAATCAGAAGGCACGAATCGAATCATATGTTTTCAATGTAACAGCGCGCTGATACGTCGGCTTTTAAGAGAAGACTGTTTTATTCCGCTTCAGATTTCAATACTAAAAGAAGTTCGATGAACTGAATGAGCCTGTCAGACTATCACAGCCCCTTACCTCAAACCTCTGTGCATTATCAGAAAAAGAAAACACACTGTAAACACAGTGTAACATGCATTCATAGCGTCTTTTTTTGTTGTGCAGCAACGCTACTTTAAATGAGTCCCATTTACTTTATATTAAACGGCAACTGCGTTTTACGAAAGACCAAAGTTAAACAAGATGCCTTTCTTTTCACATATATGCTATGACATGATATAAATAGAAGAGATGAAAAAGAGATGATCAAGACCTTGAGTGTGCACAGTAGCCTATTTGTTTTATTTGCTAATGTAAACTATTTTTTTAAAGATCAATATAATGTATAAAGCTATATCATGTATGTATGTCCGATAACAGACAAAGATTGCACAGACTGATGTTTCTCAGTGTTTTGCTCTGTTCTACTTGCAGTACACAAAAATATTTTAATTGTAACATTTTTATAATATTTGCATTTTACAAATAGCATGTTATGATAGCTGTGGGCACGGGAAATGTTTTTATTCACTTTATTTGAATTTTTACACACTTTAAAAAGTTTTTATTAGTATGTTTACATTATTTGAATCTGACAAGCTTAGTTTACAATGTCTTCATTCTACCTGCATTAAATCGAAATGCCAAACATCAGAAATGACAAAAGATTGTTAAGATTTAATTAATGTTAGTAAATAAAAGCTAGTAATAAACATTTATACAGAAGTATTTATGTGTGTAAAACGTCTGTTTTGTGAGAAGTGCTTTTAATATGATATGTGAGCGACCCGTACAGCTTTATTGTAGACATTTCCTCGAGCGAGAATGATGCGGCTGAAACTCTCGGCCATACACCAAAAGGGTACCTTTTATAGTGGAAACGCAAGCCTGCTAAAGTTGACCCGTACCGACCCGAACCATACCGTACTGTACCAGTCAGTGGAAACGAGCCATTAGAGGTTTTTGCAAATAAAAAAGCAGAAGTAGATTTAGCTGGTTTTTATGCAAACGAAAATCTACCTTTATAAAAACCAAAGAATTGTCTAAAGTGACATTTTTGAACAAAAGTTGTTTTATTTACTAGCTAATAAGCTTACCATTACATATAAAATGAAACTACTGGACCTAATCAAAGGAGCCTAATAGAAAAATGCTCATTTACAAGAAAAAAGGTCTAATGGATTTAGAGGGTTTTGCATCTGAACTCTTTATTTAATCCACAGCCTTAGCGATCAACATGTATTGAGAATGTGCCTGCATGTATTTTGACTCTCAAAAAGCTGGTGTTCATTAACTTGCATTATATGCATTACATTATATGAAAAAACAACACTTTCTGCTAAAAAAAATCTTAAACCTCTTGAGAAAAGAAAAGTCGCCTACAGTTTGTATAACCTGATAGATAATCAAGGGGTTTCATTGAGAGGGTTTGAAACACATTTTATATCTATTCAACTCAACTCAACTCAACAAAATACCCCCTATTACACAGGACAAGATAAGTCTGCATCAACAGAAGTTATTTTAAGGATTAAAACAGAAATAGTTTCCTAATCAACCAAGTGCACATTTTCACTCATGCTGAATATTGTGACCTGACCTAAACAAACAATCAAGCTAATAAAATATTTGGCTCACCTCTAAATCTCCTTCCTCTCCCCTCATTGAACTGGAATCCTCCACAGGACTTTCGGTTTGATGCAACAGCGAGTTCACTAAATCACAGAACCTGACAACACAAATTATAGAGTTTGAAAATATGTTCCCTTTCATTGTGACTCATGCCATTTCAGGGAAGCATTTCCTCATCATTTTCTTTGTTATATTGATGCATGCACTCACACTTTATTATTACATAACCACTCAATGAGAATTTCATTGGAAGAATTACAAGTGTACAATATAAGTCAAAAAGTCAAGCAAGACTACCTGAAGCTAAAACTACAGAAGGGTAAGTAATGTGATATTGAAAATACATTGACAGGTAAGGGTAATGTAATATTGAAATACACTGACAGACTCAATGAAGAGTGCCTGAAGCATCTCTGAATTTAACTGTGTTAATATATCAGATTGTTTTTCACACAAGCTAATATTTTAAGAGTTGCTCCTCTGTCAGGAACACTCAAGGCATTGGAGCTCATGTTGATCTTGGCAGCCTGTGTGTGTTTGTGTGTAAGTGCTGTGTCTGTGGGTGGTGCTCACCCTTTGCAATGCAGATCACTGGGAAAGTACAACTGGAAGTCATCTGAATTGTACAGGACATACAGGAAGCAGCTCCGTTCGTCAAACTTGGAAATGCTGCAATAGTGGAATAACAGGGGATTCTCATTCACACTCCAACATTAAATGAATCATAAAAAAACTTTAAAGATTATAGGTATCTATTATCTTTAAAGATAAGCAGTATTTGATATTTTTCCATACATAGAGGTTCAGTTTGAAGGCCACATGCTTACTTAATGAGTTGCTTGGAAATGTATAGCAGTTTGGTTTTAACAAAACATACACAATTACAATAACGTTTGTGACACAGAAGCACCAATATGATGCTGATTTTTCATGAAACATTTTAGGTTGTTAAAACAATGAGCGCCTGACAGAGGTCAGGTCAAGCCTTTCAAAAGCCAAGTTTTAGATAAACAAAAGGAAGTGTTCTCATGTGTTACAAAAAGAAATGTCCCTTTAAAGCAGAGATGCACAAAGTAGGGCCTGGGGTCCAAAGTTGGCCAATTGTGACCTTTGATTTGACCCACAATTCTATCCAACAGAAGAGTACACGGCAAAAAATGTTCTTGTTTCTAGTCCAAATATCTAAAAATTGTTATATTAAGAAGCATGTTCTAGGCAAGCAAGACATATTGTCTTGTTTTGAGAAATAAAATGCCAAAATTAAGTGAGTTTTTTCCTTAAAACAAGCTAAATCTGCCAATGGTGTAAGCAAAATAATCTTGCTTTTCCTTTTGAAATAAGATTATTTTGATTACCCCATTGGCAGATTTTTTTGCTTGTTTTAAGGAAACACTCACTTAATTTTGGCATTTTATTTCTCAAAACAAGACATATGTTTTGCTTGCCTAGAAAATGCTTTTTTATATAAGAATTTTTTGATATTTGGACTAGAAACAAGACAAAAAAAACAAAGTAAGAAAATAATTTTTCAGTGTAGGCATGGGACGATAACCAGTATGCCAGAATGGATTAAAAACATCCTGTATGGCTTTTAAAAAACAAAAATAGCATAGTACAAGTTAACTGTTGTCTTTCATGTAGTTAAGTTAATACAGGGTTTCTGTTTTGAGTCCAATTTAAGACTTTAAGACATTTTTAGGACCATTATAAATGAAATTTTAAACTCATAAAGGGTTAAAGGCTAAGGCATTTTTCAAATGGCCCAGATGGAAAATATTTTTATTTGCCATATCAGAAAAAAAAAAAATGTGTATGTATATATATATATATATATAATTTAATACATTTAATAATACAATAATACTTTAATAGTTAAAAATTTAAATATTTTAGATTTTATTGCTTAGTTAAATATTTTAAATATTGTGTAAAATCAAGCAAGCTCTACTTGTATTCATACACTTTTTTTATCACAAATACTTTCTTTAAACAAATGTTGTACATTTTTAATAAACTTTAATAAACTAAATCTATGCACAACAGTCTGTCCATGTCGGTGTCCTCATCACTAAGTACGTGGATCACTTTTAAACAAAATTCGTTTTTAGGAAAATAATCAAACCATTATGGTAAATATACTTAAAATTACCTTTTTAAATAGGAGTTTCAATTAAGTTTTATTGAGATGAATTGCTGGTGATTGTATGAGTTCTGGCCAGATTGTGTAGCAATACATGAACAAAGAAAAATTAAGACTTTATTTAAAAAAAAAAAGAATTAAAACCTACAACACAATATTTCAGTACATTTAAGACATTTTAAGGCCTAAAATTTTGATTTTGAGATGTAAAACATTTTATTACTTTTGAAGACCCCGCAGAAACCGTGGTATAAGACAGATTATGCTGAAATATACAAAAACACCTGTGCGGAAATACAAATTCTAAAAGCATATTCCAAAACAAGAACTACAACAATAATGTAGATAGCTTCAAATATGCAAAAGTATAGCAGTATAGCCATAGTCTGTACAATAACTAAAATGATAACAATAGATGAAATCACATTTTTTCCAGCTAATGTACAATTACAACAAAAGTAGCTTCTCAAAATCCATTTTGCTAAATGTCCAAATAAATTTACAATTGACAATTGACAAATTTGGCTTTTAAAAAACAAAAATAGCATAGTACAAGTTAACTGTTGACTTTCATGTAGTTAAGTTAATACAGGGTTTCTGTTTTGAGTCCAATTTAAGACATTAAGACATTTTAAGGACCATTATAAATGAAATTTTAAACTCATAAAGGGTTAAAGGCTAAGGCTTTTTTTTTTGCCATATCAAAAAAATAAAATAAAAAAATAAACATTATATATATATATATATATATATATATATATATATATATAATTTAATACATTTAATAATACAATAATACTTTAATAATTCAACATTTAAATATTTTAGATTTTATTGCTTAGTTAAATATTTTAAATATTGTGTAAAATCAAGCAAGCTCTACTTGTTTTCATACACTTTTTTATCACAAATACTTTCTTTAAACAAATGTTGTACATTTTTAATAAACTTTAATAAACTAAATCTATGCACAACAGTCTGTCCATGTCGGTGTCCTCACCACTAAGTACGTGGATCACTTTTAAATAAAATTCGTTTTTAGGAAAATAATCAAACCATTATGGTAAATTTCTCTTGGAGACTATTTATTCATAAGTTTTTTGGAGGTTGATCTGACCTTAAATACTGACATCCTGTGTTGTTTGTTGTGCAACATGAGCTCTAAACAAGAGTTTTGATGTTAAAAACCTTGAAACGAGAACAAAAACAGAAAGTGACACTGACCTATAGCTTAAAAACTGAGAAGAGGATAAGATGCGTCAACTAGTCCAACTAAGCGAGGAAGTTTATTAAAAAAGGCCTATTCAGAGAAAAATCACTGGACTGTGGCCTAAATAGGGCACCACTGGTGGGACTATAAACCGCTGCAAGCTTGGCAAAGGAAAACAGGAAAAAAATATATGGAAATGGCAGTATTCCCATAAGTGCACAGTACCTCACTCCACGAATCGCAGATGCTGGGAAAGTCCACTCGTGAAGACCTTTCTGGGAAAGCCAAATAAAGCACATTAAGCTCCCACACACATGTACACAATGTTCAATATAACAGCATAAAGCCGCTCATGCAGCCCTCCATCAGGCTCAATGGTGCCTATCTTTCAAATTAATTATTTATGGAAAGTCTACTGCGTTACAGCACTAACTTTGCTATTACTTCTGAATGCCGTTGGTAAAAAGGATCATAAGTCAAGCATGTTTACCTCGAGTGGAGTGACATGTCTAAGCTGCACCGTACGGCTGTCGTCTTCCTCACTTACGCTTATTATACTGGGCTGGAAGACTTTAGTGGGCTCCAGAATCAGAACCTAAAGAAAATAAAATCATTTTAAGTCTGTTTGTCTGTTTGTGTTATCTACTTTTGTTGTGATGCTTAAGTAAACCTGATGCTTAAAGTAAACCTTAAAGTGATGCTAAAGTAATAATTCAAAAAAAAAAATTGAGTTTTTTTTTTTTTTGATAAACACAAACGAAGATACTAAATAGAATGCTGAAAGACTGTAGCCATTGACAAATATAGCAGGAAAAATTCCTATGGACATCAATGATATGGGTTTCTAACATTCAACAGAAGAAATAAACTCAAGGAGGTTTAATACAAGTGAAGGATGAGTCAATGAATGAGTGTTCATTTTTGGGTGAACTATCCCTTTAAAGCTGTCTTTTGGCCAGTAGGATAAGGTTGTACTGTGAATAAGGAGAATAAAGGGATTCTTACTGGGCATCGTGCTGTGGAAACGGTAGGTTTGCATGCTTGTACCATCAACTCCATCCAAAAGTCTGCAGTTTCTTGTTTAGGATGATTCACTTCTCTGGGTTTGGCAAACTGCTTGTAGAGTATATACGTCTCCATAATGGATGCAACATACCTGATTGGAGTAAGAAATTACAGAGTATGTTTGGCTGTAAATGTTTACTTAGTATGTTTTTAATTATGTATATTTACACACTGTACTTTTTGGAATATAATAGCATTTGTCAAATTTTTTTGCTGCTCCTTACAAATTTTTTTCTACAACATGAAGACTTAAAATTTTAACATTTATAAAACATTAAACACTTCTTAATTGACAAAAAAAGTGTTTGCTGCAGTTATATATGTATTAATTTATTTTTTTAAAAATCCTTGATGTAACTATATTAAAACATTTTTTTTTTCAAATTATATTTTTTTAATGAATGAAAACAGGGACTTTCCATAACTTTAAAAACTAATTTTTTTATTTTATGTTTTTAACGAGAATTTATAAAGATTAACAACAATAAATTGTTTTAAAAGCAAAATCTAGCTTTATAACAACATTATTTTATAAAAAAAAATAAAAACTCAGATTTTACTTTTAAAATTCTGCAATATTAAACCAAACATTCAAGGATAATTAATCATTTCCTTTTGCTCACCACATTGGAGCTTTGAGCCTGTAGAGTCTCTCGGAAGCATCTATGACTTTCTTGTGTTCATTGGCCAGGATTCCAGCTCCCAGATAAAATCCCACATCCCAGTAGTCCTGCATCTTCTCGAGGGAGCCCTTCCTGCCCAGCAGACTACTGAGGGTAACACCTGACACAAACAACACCAAAAAACATAACCAAAGCAATAAACAACCTTTAAAAGGGATATATTATTCCCTTTTTCATAACATGTCAAATTTACCTCTGGAGTCCCCAGAATATGTGAAGTTTTATCTTGAAACATAAATATCTTACAGGTCAATTAGCATATCAAATTTGTCCCTAAAAGTTACTGGGTTGTCCTTTTTGTGTTGGGAATGGTCGGATTTTTAAGATTTCTTTAATAAACAAAGTCTTCATTTGCCTCAGTATAGATCATCAGGGGTGCCCAAATTCAGTCCTGTCTTGCATTGTTTAGCTCCAACTTCCTTCAACACACCTGCCTGGAAGCTTCTAGTATACTTAGAAAGAGCTTGATTAGCTGGTTCAGGTGTGTTTAACTGGGCTTCGAACTAAACATTGCAGGACACTGACCCTCCAGGACCGAGATTGGGCACCCCTGGTATAGATAAAGCAACAACATTTTCCCACATTCTCTATTCATGTATTTTGCCTACATGTATCCATGTCTTCATATTCAATGAATTGGATCATACAAGTAGGCCACTAAATATCCCTTTCCATACACTCCACTTCTATAAAGAAAAGACTGTGCAACAAAAGCATTACATGATATGTAGACTGAACCGTGATCCTTCAAAGTGCACACAAAACGGTGAAGCTGTGAATGGTGAAGCTAAATGAAGGAGACATAAACACACCGATTTTCCGCAGTTCAATAGAAGTGTCGAATTCATGCCCAGCGGCCATCAGGAGCACAACGTTATTGATTCCAGAATGTAAACTGGGCTCAATCGTAAAGGCCTTGCCATACCTGTAGGACAAATTCAATGAGAGAAAAACAACACGTCATTACTGTTAAGAATCATTACACAAAAGTAGCATTAATACCTAAACATAGCATATTCACAACTTAATGTTTACTAAAAATATCAACAATTTTTAAAAATGTACCTATATTATTTATGTATAATTTTTTTCTTTAACCAATTACAATATATTTAGTTTGTTGTTGTTTTCTTCTTGTCTGAACCATAATTGTACAAAAAAATACATAAATATATATGTATTTGTTATTTTCCACTATTTGTTTCTTTCTGACATGCACTCACACACAAATTATTTATTTAAAAACTAATAAATACACTGACTGACAACAAGCCATAATATCTTGTATTAGTTTGCAATCTACAGAAGTAATGTTTGTCATAATTAAATAGTACGTATTATGTATTTTAAGATAAATAGTATGCCTTTTTTCCCATATTGCATTTTTTGTTTCATTTTCTAACATAAATCTACTAATTTTATATGATCCATGGTCAAAACAAGACATTTTTTTAAAATGATGATTGCCAAGACAAATATAACTGTTTGAAATGAACTAAAATCAAAGCAAAACCTAAATAATAGGGGTGTAACGATTTATCGTTGTACGATTTATTGCGATGCAAAAATGTCACAATATGCATCGTGGCGTTATGACGATTTGACTACGATATGACGTCCGTTTTCTCTTAGTTGAGCTGTTTGAACGTGAGCTACGTTCCACCTGCTGTCGCACGTGAGTTCAGATTGCAGCAGCAGTAATGTTAGCAGACCAAGATGAGTGGAGCTGAAATAGAGGATGGCCCATCCTCTAAAAATCAGACGTCTGGCAACATTTCGGTTGTACAGTCATTGCTTTAGACTCGTCCGCTTTTTGACACGCATACTGGGTCAAACATCCTAAGTTTTAAAGTCTTCACAGTGATTTACATACTTTGCACAGCGACAGGGATACCTCCTAATGGTGTTGAAAGAGTCACATACTGTATTTATAAGGTACAATTCACCCTAAAATATCATTCTGTCTTCATATAATGTTCCCGCCGCAAAATCACACATGACGTGAGCTGACCGTGAGCTGTTACTACAGAGGGCGGACTTTGATAGACGCGCGCGTATGGCAAGCCGATTTAGCATTTAAACCTTTGTTCTGACTATCCATAAATTTATTTTGAGATATCTCTGATTATATTTTGACTAGTCATAATTATAATTCGACTAATCAGAATGACAATTAGAGATATCTGCAATTACAATTGTACTAGTACGAAATCAGATTGGAGATATCTGCAAACATATTATGACTAGTCATATTCCTCCATTGACTTCCATTGAAAAATATTTGCAGATATCTCTAAATGAGTTTTGACTAGTCACAATTGTAATTAGAGATATCTCTAAATGAATTTAATTAAATATGAATTAAATACCTGGAAATGTGGATTTTTTTTGCACACACAAAAAAACGCAAGTGACCAAGCAAAGCCTTAAGCTCTTACTGTTAAATTCAATTGAATAGAAAGCTTTTTTTTTTTGCACCTTTTCTTAAATTGTTCCTTAATTTTGTCTCTGTCATTTCAATAATATTTTAAAGAAGTTTTTAAATTGTTTTATTTTCCAGAGACAGGCCTGTTTAATTTATTTTCTTAAAGAAGGTTCAGTTTAACAAGTTGAAACAAAAGAAATACATAAAAAATAGTTTACTTTCAGTTTAATTTTCAATTTTTATTCCAAATATCGTGATACATATCGAATCGTGAACATTATATCGTGATACACATCATATTGTGAGCTGAGCGTATATTTACACCCCTACAAAATAATAACGCTTTTTAAAGACCACGCAGAACATTACATTTAAAGCAAATCTTGCTTTATTTTAGATTTCCTCCTACCAAAGCAAGACAGTGTATCAATAAGTACTGTATATAAAACAGACATGATGATCAACAGTCTAGTCATCTACAGCTCTATACTGGTTTTTGGGCAAGCACTCACCATTTAGATGCCTGATCTCTGCTGTTTGTGTCTTTGAAGCCTGAACTGAGGAACATGTCCTTGTAGATGCGTCCACACAGGCAGTACACATCTGAGGCTACCGTCTCCCCCGACTCCACAATGGGTAAAATGAGCTTTAAAGCCCTGACACGATCCCCAGGGTGATTCCTCCTTTAAAACACATTTCAAACACATTTGCTCATTTTATAAGTTCACTAGAGTTAAACAGTTGAGGTTTACATTCTTTGAATCCATTTAGTCGATCTCTGGGACTGGCAGGAGCACTTGTAGTGTAGCTTAGCATAAATCATTAAATCGGATCAGACCATTAGCATCTTGATCCCACAAAAAAATTATTATCCTGTTTAAAACTTGACGCTTTTGTATTGAGAAAGATGGAAATTTTATTATTATTTAAAATTATTATTTTTTTTATTAAAATACTATTCTGCTATTTTCGAGGTTGAAATGGAACTTTGATAACTTTCTGGCATAATAATCAAGGAACTATGTTGTTGAACCAAAATAGGAAATGTTTAAAACTCGATAAACTAACATTGTTTTAATTTTTGAGAGACATGCTAATGGTCTAAACTGATTTAATGATATATGCTTAGCAAAGTTAAATTGCTCCCTCCAGAACCGGTTGGCTGAATGGAATAAAAAATTATAAAACTTAACTGTTCAACTCTTGAGCCATTAATAAATGATTATTGAGTGTATTGCATTATTTACAAAAACAAAAAGCTCACCTGTTCAAAGCAAATATATACTGAAATTTGATGTTCTGATGTGCTGGCACCATGCACATGGGCAAATTATTCAAGGTCTCCACCAGATTTATTATGGAGTCATAGTCCTTGAATCACACGGAGAAAGAGAGTTCAGTTTCAATTAATTATTCAGACATTTGGCTGGCACCTCTAATATTTCACAACCTCTGGGTTCACAATATATTCTGCATAATGAAATGAAAAGGAATAGCATGAAATACTTATACAACAGGAACCAATAATTTACGGTTAACTACGTGATTTATTATATCAAGCCTGGTGAAATCATTTTTTCTATTTGAAATTAATAATTAAACAGACTCTGCTGTGTATCGCAGCAACAATCAAAACATTCACACAGAGAAATGCTGACACAAATATGCATTCATGCATACACACTGAAGAAATACACATTAAACATAACAAAAAAAGAGTCTATTTCATAATAAAATATGTTGACTTACATTGTAGTATCAGTCATATTGGGTCTGCTTTTAATTAAAAGTTTAGAGCTGTGCACATGTAGGGCCTCGAAGTTCTTTATTTATTTTTTTTAATTATTATTATTTTTTAAATCCTTATTAAGTTTAAGCTTTTTTTTAACGTTTTTTGGGCCTATTAACAAGCTCTCTGAGGCGTTTATAGTATATTCAAAAATCTGCTGCACGAGTTCTGACACACACGTCCTCGCGCCACCATATCACACCTGTACTTCAGCAACTTCACTGGCTCCCTTTTAAGTCACGTATTGATTTTAAGAATCTGATTTTAACATATAAAGCAGAGCATGGGCTAGCACCTGACTACATCTGTGACCTGGTAACTCTTGCCACTCCCACCCGCAGTCTTCGTTCTTCATCTAAACTTTTGCTGTATCAGCCACGCTGTAATGGAAAGACTATGGGTGGTCGTGCTTTTTCGTACAGTGCGCCTAAGCTATGGAATGGCCTAGCCATCAGCATACGGAATGCTACTTCTTTTGACTATTTTAAGAAACTTCTCAAAACTCACCTTTTTACCGTTGCTTTTACTTAAGATTGATTATTTTTATTAATTTGATCATCCAATTGAATAAAACCGTTCATATTTTAGTGTTTTATCGTGGTCTTTTTTTTAACTGTTTTTATTGTTCTGCTTTGTTACTGTTTGCCTTATAGTGCTTTTGGGTCAGAAAAAAAGCACACTATAAATAAAATGTATTACTATTATTATTATGAGCGACGCAGTGGCGCAGTAGGTAGTGCTGTCCCCTCACAGCAAGAAGGTCGCTGGTTCAAGCCTCGGCTGGGTCAGTTGGCGTTTCTGTGTGGAGTTTGCATGTTCTCCCCACGTTCGTGTGGGTTTCCTCCGGGTGCTCTGGTTTCCCCCACAGTCAAAAGACATGCGGTACAGGTGAATTGGGTAAGCTAAATTGTCTGTAGTATATGACTGTGAATGAGTGTCTATGGATGTTTGCAGCTGGAAGGGCATCCGCTGCGTAAAACATGTGCTGGATAAGTTGGCGGTTCATTCTGCTGTGGCGACCCCAAATTAATAAAGGGACTAAGCTGAAAAGAAAATAAATGAATGAGTTATTATTATTATTATTATCATTATTATTATTATTATTATTAATAGGCCTATATTGCAAGTTAAATAAAAATTTTATTTAGACCATTTGTCTAAAAGATGTTAATTTTGTGAATGAAACTGATATGACTTTTCTATTTTAGATATATTGCCAAGCTTAAGTCAGTCCTCTCTTTCAGTGACTTGAAGAAGGTTGTTCATGCCTTCCTCTCTTCTCATTTAGGTTATTGCAATGCATTGTATCTGGGTGTGAGTCAGGCCTCTCTCGCACGGCAGCAGCTGGTCCAGAATGAAGCTGCCAGGCTTTTAACATGCACAAAAAAACGAGAGCACATTACAACTGTACTGGTTTCCCTACACTGGCTACCAATCCAGTTTTGAATTCAGTGCAAATTACTGCTGTATGTTTTTAAATCCCTCCATGGCCTGACCCCTGATTATATTTCTGAGCTAATTAATATACACCAACCGATGAGATTTCTTCGCTCTAAGTATCGACTTTATTTGCAAGTTCCACGATCACGCTTGAAATGTCGAGGTGATAGAGCTTGTTCAGCAGCAGCTCCAAGACTTTTGAACGATCTTCCACTCTCTTTAAGAACAGCTCCCTCATACAGCGAGACAACAGATGCTGAGAACACCACAATCTTCATTCATTCCTAAATATGCATGTGTGTGTAGAAAGATATACTATGCCATCCATTCACAAAATTAACATGCATAATTAAAAGTCTTTTTGCAATTGAATATTCACAATCACTAGTCTAAACTGCAGTATGAGTACATGCACGACCCTGCTTTTGATTCATCCAAAATCTGGAAAACAGTAGCCATTATAGCACAACATTCTTCAAAATATCTTTTTTTCTTACTCATAAAGATTTGGAACCATTCGAGTGTGACAAAATTTGAGTGAAGTATAACTTAAACAACTAAAAAAGGGTCAAAGACAAAACAATTTTAAAGCATCAATAGAATATAAGTTTAACAGTGATTTAAAGTTTGTCATGGTTTGTTTGGAATATTTCTATTATAAAATATTTCAGAGCTAAAGTTTATCCTCTACATATGTAGAAATCCCCAAGTTCATCCCCCTATATGTAGTAAAAATCTTCCAAAAAACAAAGATGTTAGTAACTCACTGGAATGTCTCTGTAGGACAGCAGAAGGCTCATAACAATATCTGGACTCAGAAGCTCCACAGAGTCCAGACGCTTCTGGATCCGTCCCAGCTCCTGACTCAAAGCCGGGCCAGTGAAGTGCTCTCGAGCCAGACGGATCTCCCTACGGATTGCCTCATGAAGGTATTCGCTATGAGGAAAGAGCATGTTAAACGTAAATTCAGAAGACGTGAAAGCAATATTTAGCAAATGACTTTCAGGAAAAAATAAAAGACTTTCCTACCTAGAATTAATGTGAACGCTTTCCAGTAATTTGACCAGTCGATCCACCAGAGATGTCATCAGGGATTCAAATTTAAAGCTGGAATGCAGGAAATCTTTGACTGCCCTCATCAGTGCTGCATCACAGGCAAACACTTTACCCTGTGGTGACACCATGTAGGGGATGAACGTGTAGCTCCCACATTGTTCCTAGAACACAACATGCCAAACAAACACATTTGACATACAGCACCAGTATTATTTTTTTAAAAACTTTAAATGGATAGTTCACCCAAAAGAAATGAAAATTTCATCATTGTTTAATCACCCTTTTATTGGTATTCAGCACAACATTCTTATATATATATATATATATATATATATATATGCTCATAAAGATTTGGAACTATTAACTTTATAACTTTACTGTTAAAAATTTTGACTTTAACAACTAAAACAGGGTTAAATAAAAAAAACATTTTTAAAGCGTCAAAAGAATAAAAGTGTAACACAGCTTTAAAGATTTTCACGGTTGCTCTGGATTATTTCTTAGATCTAAATTGAAATTCTTAAAAATAAAATGCTTGCTCAACCTCAACATTATTTAATCTCTTGTGCACACCATAAAAAATATTTTTCAATTTTTTTGGACAAATTCTGTATGCTTTGGTGTGCTCATGCTATTGATCATGTATGTGCATCTGTCTGTAGTTTCCTACATCATCAGGTCTTTAATATATCATGTTGTTAATCAAAATATATTATACTGGCTCTCTGTTGAACAATGTTACTCTCAAATATCTAAGCGGTAGTTCACAGCCTAAGTCCTTGAGTTGTAATTCAATTCAAGTTTATTTGTATAGCACTTTTACAATGTAGATTGTGTCAAAGCAGCTAAACATATAAGTTCTAGGTAATTGTCAGTTCAGTTTTCTGAGTTGAATTTCAGTTTAGTTTAGTTCAGTGTGGTTTAATTTTCACTGCTGAAAGTCCAAACACTGAAGAGAAAATCCATCAATGCGCAGCTCCACAGGTCCCAAACCAAGCAGGCCAGTGGCGACAGTGGCGAGGAACAAACTTTACAAATAAACTTCACCAGCTTGTAAAAGTTAGATGTTGATATAACAGGGTTTCTGCAGGTTTCTTCAAATCAAATTTAGGACTTTTAAGACTCTTTTACGACCATTAGTTATACAATTTTGATTTATACAGGGCTAAACATTAAACACTGGTTCACTGGCACTGGCACTGGCACATTAAAACAACAGTTTTTGTATTAATGGAAGATCATGGAAAGAGATGTGTTGATTTATTTGTCTTTCCCTGATTGGGAAAAATGTTGGTGTGTTTATGTCTCCTAAAATTTTGTTTTTGATATTTAAGGCATTTTAATACTTTTTAAGACCCTGCGGACACCCTGTATAATTTGTTTAGCACATTTTCTATAAACTTCAAAGACTTTTTTGGGGATAATATGTGCAGGATTGTCATTGAATTGATCTTGCAGGTTTCTAAATATGCTAACAGTTTATGAACATTCAATAAACCAATCAATGGATGAGAGGAACAGGAGTAAGAGTGATGCTTTTTTGAAGGGTAAGATCAAACAAACAAAGAATATTGACACATTTCAGATTAAACTAGGGCCACTGGTATGGACCAAATGTCCTCAGTAATGACCTTACAATGGTCAAAAGTCAAGAAATGCAGCTGAATGTTGTAGACAGGTTTGTAATAAACAAATATGCATTGTATGTTTTACATTACAGAAGTCCACTTGCCATTTAAATTATACAGTAATGCATTAAATTTGCATTTTCAATCCATTCATTGTTGATTCCATTCAAAACAATAGCCATTACATCAGGAAAAACTGGTAGAGCACACTATTATACTGACAACACCACTAAACATTTGGACTATCTTGTCGGTGATCAGAGACACAAGGACTTTTTATTCTGATGGCACTGATATGAAGTAAATATTTACTTTGATGAACTACAGGGATAATGAACAACCTGCAGGCTTTTGCGAGTCAAGAATTGTGGTGTTGGTGAAAATTTACTTACAGACACTCACTAATCAGATTATATTTTGCTATTTAGGTTGTCATTTTGTATAAATGGTACTGTTTTGTATAAATGTTATTTTGTATATAGGGAAACACTTTAGTTTAAATAACAATTCTCACTATTAACCAGTGGTTAATTACCTGCCTATTATTAAGATATAGGGTGTTTATTTGTATGTATAAAGTAAAATATTTCTTCATAATCTTATTTTACAACCCTAATCCCACCCAATACCTAAACCCTACTCAACTATACCTTAATAACTTAATAAGCAGACTTCTTCTGAGTCTGTTGCTCACTTGTTTTGCGAATGTCACTTTGTTAAATCTTTCTGGTCTGATGTGAATTCTCTTGTTGTCCAAAAGGTTTGTAGTGATTTTTCTTTAAGCTTCAGACATATTATTTTGGGGTTTTACATTAAAGAAAAACGATTGCTTAATTCAAGTTTTTGTATGAACCTAATATTATTTATTGGAAAGTTTTTTTTATAGGCAAGCATAAATATACTAAAGGTGAACCAAATTTTGTATTTTTTAAACGAGAATTGGATCTGTACTTGGATACCATTCCAGAGTCTCATAACAAGAAAGCAATTAAAACGTCTAAAACGTGCTTTATTTGAAATTCTACATTAATCTGTGTAGGCATGGGACAATAACCAGTCTCAAGGTTTGGAAAAGTCAAGGTTTTAGAACTGCCAAAATTTTCTGCTATACCGTTTCTAAGGTATGTGTAATATTTTTTTTATTTTTTTTTTTAGGACAACAATATCTCCAGCAGAAAAGATTTCCAAAGATGCCGTTGTAGAGAAATCAGTGTTTTTGAAACAAATGAAGACAGCAGAAATCAATGATTCATTTGAATTATTCTGCCAGACTGTCAAAATATTTTAAAAGTTTCTCAAAATAAAATATTTTGTTTTCAAAGGGAAAAAAAGTTTTCGTTTTTTACCCAGACATTTTAAAAACTATCAATTTTAGAGCAGTAATCACAATACCTTGAAACCATGATATTTTTATCCAAGGTTATCATACCGTCAGAATTTTATACCGGCCCATGCCTAAATCTGTGTTCATTTTTCATTCTCCTTTTTAATTTTTTTTAATTTTGTCTTTTTTTTCTTTCTCACTTTCTTTCTCTTTGCCATACCATAGTAATACTTCTTTAAAATTTGTCATTCTCTTTTTGTGCAAAAAGCAATATTTGCATTCTTTGTATTATACATATTCTCCTATATATATTTATTGTAATTACCTGTTATTGCATTAATAATAAAAAACTATTAATAAGCAGCAAACTGGGAGTTTATGGAGGCAAAATTCATAGCTAAATGTTTGTTGGTAGCTTAATAGTAGGTTCATTTTCCGTTGAAATAAATTGAGACCATAGAAACTGTTGTTCTAAACTCACCATTCTAAGAAATACCAATTATTTATTTATTTTTTATTTTTTTTAAAGTATGGCAACTACTGTAGCTCACTTTCACATGGCATGCTTCGTTTTTACAACAACTTTGCAACTATTTGCAATCCTGTCTCACCTTCACAACTTGCATATCGTCTTCTTGTTTGTTACAGTACAGGATGACATTGTTGGTCATACTGAAACTCTCTCTGACACCCAGGTGATAAAACAGAGATGGCTGGCAGATGGAGTTATTCATCTCCACAACAACCACATCTAAAACACAGGGTTAAACATGCAACTCGTTAGACATGAAGAGTTCATATGCTGAAGGCGTCAGCCTCCTGTTAATGATGAGTTTTCAATGAAAAGAATATATTCATTCTCATAAAAGTCACATTTTTAAAGCTAAACAAATAAACCTGAGAAAAGGGGGCTAAATTTTAAAGAAATTTTAGAGGAACTCTTCAAATATTCCAGAAAATCCCATAGAAATGCGTGTCACAACTTGCCTGCGTTGTAGAAAGTGTCCAGGATTTCAGTGGTGCCCAGTGCAATGCGCTCGTAGGAAATGCTCTTCAGCACCGCGTGAGCGTCCGCGCAAGCTTCAGTCAGACATTTCAGTGAAAGTGACTCCTCAGTTTGGGGCAAAGACCCGTCCTCGACCGCGATGTACACAACAGACAAAGCCCTGGTCCGGCTTCTCGGCGATATCACGTTTTTACCCGCGCCACCTACTTCAAGAGCCAAAGGATCCTGCCACAAACTTCCAGCTGAAACTCGGACGGGATCTTTTCGCTTGGTTTCGTGCAGGCTCATGCGCCTACGTTCAGTCGTATACATGGTGTTATCTCATAAAATAGCACCTAGATGGTTAAAAATCATCCTGTGAGCGCGTCCTCGACATGCCTTCACTATGGCGTGAAAGTATTCCTGTAGTTTTTCCAGGTAAGACTGTGAGGAGGATCCTTTTAGACGCGCCCTCCTCCTCTTGCTGCTGCTCCCCGCCCTTCGTGTCTGACGCTCGGCTTCACAGCTGTGCGACTTCTGCCTGCAGCGCTTCTTGCACAATCTGTTTGCCTGCCTTTGTTTGGAAATTGTTTTGTTTCAGCTTGATTGCAAATGGCCCATGATAAAATATTCTGGTGGTCAAGTTGTAGCCTACTTATTTTTTCCTATTATTTTCTTGTAGCCGAATTCAGACGGGTTTAGCCCTTTAACTTTCCCATCAATAATTTTTGGATTCCTAATGTCACTAGACAAGTTCACACTTACACTCAATGCATTTTTTTCAACACATCCTGTAATTTTTAAAATAACCCTATAATATCTAATATCAACCCCTACCAAATGGTTGATATGTTGGTTTATGGGGAAAGTACTGGAATTAGGCTAATACATATACTATGAAAAATCAGAAAATATGAAATACAAGACCAATTTATTTTAAAAATATTCTAAATAAAACAGGTTTAAATACTTTTTTTTGTAGTGTGCCATAACGTGTTTTTTTCCACAATAAAACCAAAATAAAGTGTAGAATGCAACAGGATTGTTTGTTTGATTTTTTTTGTAAACCTACAATGCTGTGTGTGTAAACCATTATTTAAAATGATCATTCTTAAATGGCTTTAACAGTCATTCTTTAAAACAGTCAAAACATGGTCAATCAACCCTTTGTAGAGTGGACAGTCAAAGGATCAGTATTCCACACTTTATTTGGAGCCATAATTCTGTTGACATTGGATGACTTTAAAAGTTTCAAATTAAACCCCCTGGGCAAAAGAAGACAATTAAATAAAAAGACTAATAATTTAATAATTAATAAAAATGTATAAATAACACATAATACAATCTGTACTTTTGTAATCTCAGAACAATATAGGTCAAAATGTTTGTCTATTTACAACGGCCTAAATAAAGGATTGCTCACGCTAAAATGAAAATTGTCATCATTTACTCTAACTTTTTACTTATTCCAAACCATTTTTTTGTTCTGTTGAACACAAAAAGAGATAGGCTATAGAGAAAAAAATATTGAAAAGCTGTAACCCTTTACTTCCATAGTAGAAAAAACAAATTTGAGGGAAGTCAATGTTTACAGGCTTCCAACATTTTTCATTGTTATATACATTTTCAGCCTATCTACTTTTGTATAAAAAAATTGGAACCAGTGAAGAGTATGATAGAATTTTCATTTTTGGGTTAACTATACTATTAACAGCTGAATTATATATTAGTCTGCATATAAATGTAAAATGAAATGTATGTGCAAATATAAAATGAAAATAGATGTAAAATAACCTACCTTAAAATGAAAGGGAGGGACCAACATAAATATTCAATCATTTTAATGTTTTACCTGTTTTTACCACTGATACAATGTCCTCTAATGTAAATCAGTTTTTTATATATTTGACAGTCAGTCAGTGATTTATATCCAGACTGAAATAAATTATAATTAAATTTAACAAACTGGATTATATTCTAAAAAAAGTAAAAAAAAAAAAAAAAAAAAAGACTTAAAAATCCACATAAATAAATGTAACATTAAAATACTTTGTGGAATACTGATGAATGAAATAAAAAATTAAGCCCTGATCATATAAAGCAAATAATTATTATTATTATAATTATGTTAAAGTATAATTTAATTGAATATAAGATGAAATGTTGCAATCAAGAAACATTATAAAAATAAAATGAGTATATAGCAATTAGCAAATAAAAAGCATGTGAACTTTTGTGTAGCCTACAATAAAACAATTATACAGTGTCTAGACAATCTAATAATAGTAAACTGCAATAGTAAATGCATATAGTTTACTATTGTACTTTTATTCGTGTACTGCAAAATGACGTTATTCATAATATAATTATATATGTATTACTTATATATATTTTTTTATTTGTAGTGAGTCACTTGCCAGGATTTTTACTTGAAGTTGTTAATCTATTTAAATGGATAAAAAAGAAAGCAAACAACTCGTTCAGTTTCTATCGCAGACAGTGTGGTGAACAAATAAACACACATTATAGATAACTAGTGTCTTCTTGACCCATCTGATAGTGTAATCGTCCCGCACAGTCGCGTGCTGCCCCTCCCCTCTGCACGCGCAGCTCCTGACACACACACTAGACTACACGCGCACTAAAACATGGCGGATAAACACTAACCCTCACACTTGAGAAATCACACAAAAACCTTCCCGCGCCAGGTAAACACACCCCTTCATACCGTCCGCGATAACTACTACATCACTTTTTTTTAAAAGTTGTTAAAAACGTTAAGAAAAAACACAAAAAGTGACTCAGAGTGTGTTATAGGTGTTAGCATTTAAGCTAAATATTGTTGTATACGCATTGGAGGTGACGTATTGCTGTACAATTACACAGTATGCCCGAATAAGTATACTTTACATTTTGTTTATTGTGATCGTGGGCAAGCGCAAAGAAGCGTAATATTCAATGATGAAGTCCGTTACGAAACACGACATGACGCTACGTAGCAAAGAAGCATGTTTGTTATGAATCTGAGTGTGCTGTTTTGTATGTCGTATATTATTTAAAAGTTAACCTTTTCTATAGTGAAATGCAAATGAAGCATATTCGAAAACTTTGGTATGATTTTAAATGTCAGAAAGAAAAAATAATGATCTGTTTGAGTTGTCCAGTTGGATGTGTGTAGCGTCCCAGTGTAATGAGGGTTGTAGTAGTGTTTGGTTTGTGAACGAGTCTTTTAAGCAAACGAATCATTCATATCTACGAACCGAGTCATTTCTTTAGCATTTTTAAAAGCGCTGTTGGAGTGAATCATTACAGGAAAATGATTCAAAAGATTCGAAGCTTTTGGATGATTCAAATCCTGTCGCTGTCATTTATGGAGAGGGAGGGACTGTGTGTTTGGCGCTCAAAGGCGCCCTGCTTTTGAACAGAGAACTGGAAAACCGGGAGGCAGGAAGCCATCTTTTGAGGTATCTCTTCGCGTACAGATAGTTTTATTGATTTATTCTGTGCTTATCCATAAAGGAGGGGTGTTTAAAAGCTGAAATGACCAGATGCGAGCGAGCAAATCAACTTGTGTTGAAGAACGACGAGCGTGGATAAACGGGATGCTACCGTGTTTATTGTATTGTTGTTATTATGTTATTATCCAGCTACATATGAATTCAGTAATAGCGCTGCCCAGACATGTCTCTTGTTGTTTACCACTTCACATTGACCTTTTGGGTCAGTGATGCTTGTTTAGCGTTTGACCCAACGACCCATTAGGTCATTACAGATGGGAAAATAATAATCAGTTTGTGTAAGAAAAAAATACCTTTTGGCTAGTTCTGTTATCGATGTCAATTTCATTGTCCTTTGGGCAATATAGCTGCCAGTGGTTCATGGTTAACCGTTCAGCATGTTGACTATGAGAAAATAGTGACAGCTGACTAGTACATACAGGAAAGACTGAACCATCCAACGTTAATACAGACTGATGGGGAAAATTAAAATCCTTCAGATATTACAGTTTTGTGTTTTTCTAATTGCAGAGAGGTTAAAAAGCTGGATCATGAAGAAACCGGTACCACAGAAAGGTAAGATTTTTATTACATTGTTAGTACATTATTTACAAATGCATAGTTTTGTAGAAAATATCAGACTTTTAGTACTTTATTAGTAATATAGCGCACAGTGTCACTGTGTTACTATGATTAGTTCTGATTAATTGCTAAACAGTCTTGTATGAACTCCAGGTTCAGGTCTAATCAAATAAAAAATAATCAAATATATAACACTAATATAAAATAACTAGTCTGCACAATAAAAATTACATATAAATAAATACTTATATAAGGTACAGAAATGTACCTTTTTACATTTATTATTAATAATATTAGATTTTATATTGTGATTTGTGGTTAAGATTTAATTATAAAGGTGGCAAATGATTACCAAGTGTTTTCTTCTGCCGGTAGCTAATGAGTGGAAAGATGGCAAACGTATCAAGCACCCTCGCAGTGGTCGCCCCCCTTGTGTGCCTTCACAGTTTCAAGGTAGCAAATTCGCTGCTTTAAGTCAGAAACCTAATTAGAAATATATTCAGCATTTAAATCTCACTCTGGTTAGATATAGGCTACTTATTTCTTAATATTTTCATTTTTGTCATTTTTGATATTCATCCTTCAGGTTTAGATTTTAATGCACTATCATTTAATACTGACATGTTTGCTTAATTTTTAAGGTCATTTTAGTTGGGAGAAGTACCTGAAAGAGACTGGAGCAGTCGCTGCTCCCGCTCAGTACTTTAAACAGGTGAGTTGAATCGTGCAACAGTGGAACTCTTCATTATGGACCAAATATAGAAGTTATACTTGATTCCTCCACCACTACACTAAAGGGACAGTTCACTCAAAAATGAAAATTTCCTGTTAATTTACTCACCTATAAGTCATCCAAGATGTAGTTGACTTTATTTCTTCAGTTGAAAATTTAGCTGAATCCAGGGTCTGGTAATTTATAGAGTGGCAGTAAATGGGATATGTTTTTTAGATTAAAAATAAACACATACAAACCAGTCCAAATCAATTCCTATGGCTCTTGGTGACATACAAAGGTCTTGTGAAGTGAAATCATTGGACTGTCTAAGAAATCGAACACTGTTTACAATATTATTAGCTAGGGCTTTGCGATATGCGCAAAAGAAACCTATTACGATTTTTTTGAACAATAATGTGATTTCGATTTTTTATCACAATTTTGACACACACAGATGTTTTACAGTGGAACATATTTCCAAAGGAAATAACAATTAGATCTTCATCAAAGCCCTCTAACACGTCTCTAAAACACACATTCGATAAAAAAAATAAATAAATAAATAAAATAAAAAATAAAAATGACCTAGTAAAGCTGCAACAAATTTTTTCTAGAACAGTCCTATGGCAAAACCAATAAAGAGACTACTGGGTGTGTGTGTGTTATGAGTGTGCACGCCGTCAAACACAGGTAGGCTGCGACATTCTGTTTGACCACATTTCAGAAGTAGTTGTGTGTACTTTTGTATGTGTCCACCGATTTTTTTTGTTGCCATGCATAGATCATAGTATAGTGGCCGAGAGAGTTAAACGTGCTGCAATTTAAGAAAGCACATGCAGTT